TCTGCCACGACACAGCGTGGGTTGCTGGCTGTGGGAGCGACAGAGAACGGCGCTCTAAACTGACTGCGGGCGGGGATACTGCGCCGCAGTGACGTGGTGTAATGCGGTACAGTCTACCATCCCGCCGCTCGACGCAGTGCTTGTGTGACAGAACGAATACTGGACATCCAGAATTGCTTTGAAAGAATTCGTTCTTTTTTTTTTTGCCAGCAGACCTTGAAAGCACCATCTCCATCTCATTTTGCGTTTGCCCATCGAGCAAATACTGACCTGAGAGCGGTCGCCAGCCGGGCTTGCTGCAGTCGCACGAGTAGCCCAGAGTGGCGTTGGCGTCTCGGGAGCACGCGAAGCTCGGCTGGCAAAGGGTGGCGCCGGCCGAGCACGGGTTCCTTTCCTCGGTGCACCGCTCGCCCTCCCAGGCCGGCGGACAGGCGCACTCGAACGCCGTGCCGCCGCGGGAGGTGCACGTGCCGCCGTTGGCACACGGGTTGTCCGCCTGACAAATATCCTGGATGTGGCACTGCGGATTACTTGCTGAAAGAGACAGCGGAAAGGAACTGCTCAGAACGTGTGCCATGCGTTTCGATTAGGTTTGAAATAAAACGTTGCTCATTCTATGGCAAGGCAATCGCATCGTCTTTTACTTTTCACATTTCACAAGGTTAACAGTTAAAAGTGGAACTAAAAAAAGAAAGAAATAGTTGGGTATTATTTGTTATTTCATGCGAATAAACTTAAAGCATATTGCCGAGAAGTCAATTCATTAAAGGGACCCTCCCACCTTAACATTAGATTTGAGCTGATTGAAGGATGCATAAGCGAGAAAAAGTCACAGGAAAGTACCTATGCCGAAATAGTGAGAGGTTCGTGCTCCGAAGTTATTAGTGAAGTGTCCGCTAAGCTGTCAGCCTTGCCACTCTCTGCCACACCTCCAAACGACGTCCCAAGTATAGCCAAAGTCGTTGACGATTTTTTCGACAAAGACAAGCGAAAAAAGAACATCATCCTGCACAACCTCCCGGAGCCGAGGGCTGGAACTTTGGAGCAGAGATCCCAGGAAGACATCAACCAATTTTTGGAGATGGTCAAGGAAACCTTTCGACTACGAGTTAGCGTGGCCAGATCCTTTCGGGTCGGCAAGGCTAACCCTGACAAACCCAGACTGCTCGTGGTAACGCTGGAGAACGAGGACATAAAGCACGAACTGCTGAAAATGGCCCCGCAGCTCCGCCATTCAGTGCGATGGGGAAACATATACCTCTCCCCCGACCAAACTAAGGTGGAGCGCGAGGCTTCTAGGAAGTTGAGAGATGAGCTCCGCTCTCGCAGGGCAGCCGGTGAACAAAGCCTTGTAATCCGCAACGGGAGAATCATTTCCAATAACAGGCCAGTTTCACATGCCCAAGCCGGTCGGAGGTTCGATAGTGCAAGGGACAGTGCCAGATCCATTACCTTGCCAGTCGTCCGGTCGTCGGCTGCAACCCATGACTTGGTTCCAGCTGATGCATCAGCACGTAACGATACCTCCCGTGTGTTATCTTTGGATGTTACGGTGTCTGATGGCTGTCCTCCAGAACCTCAGCAAGCGTGACTGCCCGTGAAGAATGCCTCTGAGGGCACTCGGTGCCTACGTATTTGGTACACAAATGCGGACCAATTGTTGAACAAGAGGGATGATTTGTGCATGACTATTTGTGGTGAAGATCCCGATATCATTTTCATCACTGAAGCGCTACCGAAGGTGCGGATGTCGTCAGTGCCCCTTGTCTTGTTCTCTGTGCCTGGTTATGAAGTGCACACCAACTTTGATGATACCAATTACCTTGGCATTCGAGGCATATGCATCTATATTCATCATCGACTGAAAGTTTCCAACGTACATTTTCCAGATTCAAGATTTAAAGAGCAACTTTGGGTACAATTGTGCTTGGAAAACAATGACGTGCTACTTGCCGGATGCATTTATCGCAGCCCCTCAGGCGACCCCCATCGAAGTGTTGATGATTTGTCTTGCTTACTCCAAAATGCGATTTCTCTCAAGCACACTCACCTGCTCATTGTTGGGGATTTTAACATTCCTCAGATTGACTGGGAAAACAACTTTTGCAGCGCATCTGAAGCACATTTTGCCAACAAGTTTTTGTCTGCCGTTCAGGATGCATTCCTGTTCCAGCATGTCACCAAGCCTACCAGATTTAGAGAGGGTTGTAGGCCTAGTATACTGGATTTGGTGTTTACAAATGATGAGAATATGATAACAAAGATCAAATATTGTCCTGGATTAGGAAGGAGTGATCATGTGCTACTGAAATGCGATATTGCCTGTTACAACAAAAAATGTTCTTCTGCCGGCTTGAAATGGAATTTTCACCGCGCTGACTTCACGGCCTTGCGTGTAAAACTACATGCAGTTGACTGGAGCTGTTTGTCAACCATGAGTGTAGACGCGGGCTACAAGTGGTTTAGGAGCAAACTTGAATCGCTGATGAGTGAGTGCATACCCAAAGCAAGAAACGTCAAGTCTAAAAAGAACGTTTACATGAATAGCCGTTCACTAAACCTCAAGAAGAAGAAGAAGGTACTGTGGTCAGTGTACATGAGAACGCAAGACCCCATCGACTATAGCAGATATAAGATTTGCAGAAATAAGCTTAGGACATTGACTCGCCAGTTAAGGAAAGATTTTGAAGCTAAGATATCAGCAAACATGAAAGAAAACCCGAAGGCTTTTTGGAAATATGTGAACAGCCGCCGTAAAGTTAAATCAAGTATTGGTGATCTAAGAAATGACCAGGGCCAGCTTGTTAGCGAGGAAAAAGAGAAGGCCTCGCTCCTGAATGACGTCTTCTCAGGCGCATTCACTATTGAAAAAACGGATGTCGTGCCACAACTAGCAAACCGTTACACAGGGCCGCCGCTGATCGATATACCAGTCAACCTTTTCACAGTGAAGCAAAAGCTTAAAGCACTGAACCCCAATAGTGCCCCCGGAGCTGATGACATTCACCCCCGCGTTTTAAGGGAGTTGAGTGGTCCTCTCTCCCTTCCCTTGACATTACTGTTCCGAAAATCGCTTGAAACTGGGTCTATTCCTGCAGACTGGAAGCACGGTAAAGTCATACCAATCTTTAAGAAAGGTGAAAAGGAAGACCCAAGAAACTATAGACCTGTCAGCCTCACATCTGTTCCCTGTAAGATTCTCGAGTCGCTCATTCGTGATTGTTTAATGGACCATTTGCTGTCAAATGACCTGCTGTCCAAGGACCAACATGGCTTCCGCCCGAAGCGATCTTGTGATACGCAACTGCTTGACTCTATAGACTCATGGAGCCGCCTGTTGGAGGACAAGACGGAGGTCGAAGTGATTTACCTTGACTTCCGAAAGGCGTTCGACTCCGTCCCACACAAGAGACTGATAGGCAAGCTGCGCTGTTATGGTATTGGTGACCGAGTGTTGTCTTGGATTGAATCATTCCTGGAAGACAGAATGCAGCAAGTGTCCCTATATGGAAACCTGTCAGACTTGGTCCCTGTGCGCAGTGGTGTGCCCCAAGGCTCAGTGTTGGGCCCATTGCTCTTCTTGCTCTATGTCAATGACTTGCCAGATGCTGTCACTTCAAATGTGCGAATGTTCGCAGATGACACAAAGCTGTTCTCAGGCATCTCTTCTGAACATGATGTGCGGACATTGCAGGCAGACCTGAACGCCCTCGTGGAATGGTCTAGAACTTGGCAGCTGCCATTTAACGAGAATAAGTGCAAAGTGCTTCATGTTGGTGCAGCCAAGGACCACCACTCATTTCAAATGGGGTCGGACAGACTGACAAACACGTCAGTCGAGAGAGACCTGGGTGTGCAGGTCGACTCAATCTTGAAGTTTCGACAGCAAGCGTCTACGGCGGTCTTCAAAGCGTCTCAAGTTCTTGCGGTCATCCGCCGGTCCTTCGCCTTTTTAGATGAATTTACCCTGCCTCTTCTGTTCAAATCTCTCGTGCGGCCTCACCTGGAGTTCAGCAGTCTTGTTTGGGGTCCGTTCAATAGAGCTGATCAGAAGGCAGTCGAAAGGGTTCAAAGAAGAGCCACCCGGTTAGTGGTGAGCATCCGCCACCTTCCATATCCTGAAAGGCTGAAGAGACTGAAGCTCCCGTCACTGTACTATCGGCGTAGACGCATGGATATGATTCACGCATACAAGATGCTGCACGGCCACGTTGATACTGATCCTTCAGAGCTTCTGGCAACGAATCCTGAAAGGCGAACTCGGGGTCACACACTTAAACTACGGAAGCCTCGTGCAACCTGCCGTGCCAGACTGAATTCATTTTCTGTGCGGTGTATTAACGATTGGAACGGGCTTCCAGCAGAAATTGTACATTCGCCCTCAGTCAACGTCTTTAAGAACAGGCTGGATGCACACTGGGAGTCGATCTGGTACTCCACTCCTGTAACAGACTGAGTACTAAGTGAAGTTATGGAAATCGGCGAGAACGGGCCCTACAGGACATCGTGCCTCTTGCCCCGATAACACGAAGATGAGATGAAGATAGCCAAAATGGGGTCCCTGGCTCACAATTACCGGTTTCGGCACTCACAACATCGACAAATGCCTTAAATCGGAAATATTGAATTTCAAAATTGCAGCATTTTGATTCAGAGGGGCTAATGCTTAGGAATACCCCTCTGAATGTGTGACGTCAGCGCAGATATCTAATGATTTTTAAATGTTTGACTAAAACGTTTTGTAGCACGCGGTGGCATATGCTATTTGCGCGCAACATCTGCCGCAAACGCCGCACTTCTAAAATAAAGTCGCTAGAAACAGCGGAGATCCCAAAAAAGTAAACAAAAGTAAAAGTCTAATATCTTGAAAACCGGTGAACATTTTTCGGTGAAATTTGGTAGATATTCGTTTTCGCTCTTTCTGAACCGAGCGACATCACTTTCATGCCAATTCATTAACTCTTTTGAAGGTGGGAGGGTCCCTTTAAAGGGTAAATCCACTAAGAAGGAAGTGGTTTGCTACCTGAGATTCGGGCCCAGCCGGGCCGGCGGCGGCACTGGCAGGTGAACCCCGCCGGGCTGGCCTCGCTGCGCGTGCAGTTGAACCCGGCGCCGCACACATCCCTTTGGCTGGGGCACGGGTCGCGCGCCAGCTGACACAGCCGACCGCTCCACGCCGGCGGGCACAGACAGCTGAACGAGGTGCCGGGTCGCCGGCGGCAGGTGGCGCCGTTCTGACAGGGCCGCCGGGCGGCACACGCGTCGGCCACCACACAGGAAGGGTTCGTGTCTGACGGCACACGGGCACACGGCACAGTCGGCCGCAGCGCTGCAGCTCCGCGCCGCACGTCAGCGGGGCACGGCCGGCCCGCAAAGGACGTCCCTTGGAGCAAAAACCGATCTTAACCCTTCTCTTGGGCATCACAGCATTCCATAAAGCACAGCACAGTAACCTTGCAGTTAGGCACATTCGCTTTCGATCGAATAAAAGTAAAACAATTAGCACCACCGCTAATTGAACATAGCAGCGCTGTTATCATTAGATGCATACATCATGAGATAGGTATAGGTATTTATCTATTTATCATCTTGTCTAGCTGAAAGCTTCGACAGCTCACCTCCAAGTCGATGCCAAGGAAAAAGGATGACGAATGGGATATCGAAATTCGTAGAAGCAGTTGATGGCGGTAGCATATACGAGTATGCACATGTGCAATTATCGCATCCACATAATCGCACAAATAATCGACAGATGTCATTAGAAGTCAAAGCCAGTCAAAGCTCAGAATGTAGCCATTGATAATCTAGAACTGCAAACTTCGTTTATTTAATTAATGGGTGCTGCATTAGCATGCATATAGGCAATAAGGAATTACTCGCTTTTATTGAACAAAACAAATACCTACCGCAATTCCTCTGCGAACTACATTCTGAGTTACTGCGAATCCACCCAACGTCTCGTCTCTGATATGTCATATGTCACTGGGGTGGTGGAAAGTTGTTCATTTGTATTTATTCACGTGCACAGGGCTTATGCAGCATGTATAAGCAAAATGTCAGAGTGTCAGACAAGTAGTCCGGAATATAATTAACAACATGTACAATAAATGAGCATATAATATGGTCGGATAAATACACACAACCACAATGAGAAACATAAAATCTATTTTACTGTCATATTATGTGGCCAATACCTGATTTCATGGTCCAGCCGGGTTTGGAGCTGCAGCCGCAGCGATGCCCGGAGGCGTGTGTCGGGTCCCGGCGGCACTTCCAGCCAGTTCCGCACCTGCCACACACAGCCAGTGCATCAATACACGTAACATACCTATTCACGGTCCCGGCGGTACTTCCAGCCAGATCTGCACCTGCCGTACCCAGCCAGCACATCAGGTACTCAGCTCACACGCAATACATTCACGTTTTTTTAATATACGTTTGTTCCCATGAGGGGTATACTTATTTGTAAGCCAATTTGTCTGAAACACTCAAGGCTGTATTCTATTTTTACAGCTGTTTATATGCCTTACATATAACCGTTTATATGAATCTCCTTATAACCCTCAGGAAAAACCAGTTGGTTAGCAAATTATTGCGTATTTAGCCGCCCGAGTGAATCATTTGCCACTGTGAGTAGCTCTGACCATATTCGTTATACCGACACCCCGCCCTGCGACTGACCTGTTGAGGGCGGTGGTGCACGGGTCGTTGGGCTCCTCGCAGTGCCGGCCGCGCCACGCCGGACTGCACGTGCACGTGTACTCGCGGCCAGACTCGGCTGAAGGGGTGCACGTGCCGCCGTTCTGACACGGCGGCTTCGCCTTACACCGGTCCTTGATGATGCAGCGCGGATCAGAGGCTGGTGGCGGTGGTAAAGAGAGGAGAGGGAGAGGAAATGATAAGACAGATGAAGGAAGAACGTTGTAAAATGTGCAACGAAAGAAATGAGGAATGCAAGAAGTTCGATTGTGCTAACATTTTCGATAGGTATCCGTCAGGCGTCCATCATGCATCAAAAGCATTATGGTGCCGTAGCCGCATTGATGTGCTGGAGAGGGTGTGTCGCTTTTAAAAAGTCAGATGCTTCATTACATTTTTTTCTCTACAAAATACTTATCTTGCAAAATACACTAATCCTTGTGCGTTTCAGTGGTCTGACCTGACTTGGCGGCGTATCCGGGGTGGTTGCGGCAGTTGCAGCGGTAGCCGGCCACCGACTCGGGGTTCCGTGAGCACGTGAAGCCGGCGCCGCACAGCCGCGCACCGGTCGCCCGGGAGCCGCACGGGTCGAGCGGCTTCTGACAAACCTGGCCCGTCCAGGCGCTCGGACACTGACACTTGAACAGCCACATACCTGGCGGCGGGGATACCGGGCCCGCTGACAACAGCTCCGAAACGGTTTTAAGCACAATATAGGTAATCTTGAGCTTAGGTACAGAAGCCAAGTCGTATGCTTAAATTAATGATATTCGTACGTTCATTTTTTTTATGAATTCTGCTTCACATATATGTTACGAATGGAATTTTATTGTTTTCCTCTAATCCTAGCTTAATTCTCAATGCATTAGATGCAAAAATACTAAAAATAGTTGCATCGCTTGACGCTTAGGTAAAATTACCTACCTATCATGGTCCACAAAATTTTTCATACGAGTAACTAGACCGTAGATCTTGAATATTCAATTGGCATGACCATCACAAGTGTAGTTGTACACTGTCACTTACCACGGCCTGTAGGGATGCAAGTGCCTCCGTTTCGGCAGTGGGTGCCCTTCGTCTTACAGTAGTTCGTAACCTTGCACACCGGGTTGGTAACTGCAACGCGTTGTAATATATAAATTTCCACAGGAACTTCTCGACTTGGAGTACGATATACCTAAGAGTAAACAAAAATGCCTATATTTTAAGATTTAATATTATTAAGGCTAACTAAACCGAGTTAAAATTGTGGACACCAAATCTTAAGGGCAGTGTTACAAGCAATGCCCACCGATCGAAAATTAACGTTGTAATTGAATTGTCGTTATAAATTGCGTCTGAGCTGAGAACAAGTCTATGTTTAACGTTCGCAACATTCATTATTCATGACAAAAACGTGTCTTTTCTTAGTGCTTATGTAAAAATACCCCAATTTTTGTTTCCTTTCGTTCGATGCACGTCAAATACACTAATAATGCAGTTTGGTTGCTCGTCACTACTGGCCTGAAGTGGCTCCCCAGCCGGGTCTGCTGCCGCAGTCGCACGAGTAGCCGGCAGGGGAGGTGGGGTCGCGGGAGCACGCGAACCCGTTGCCGCACTCCAAAGTCTTGCACGGGTCGCGGGCAAACTGCGAAATGATGCGCAAATGTTTCTTGTGATATTGAAATGCAATTATGCATTTCAATGAAGATAGTTATGCATTTACCTAATAACCACCCACTTATCTCCCTCTCTTGCACTCTGTCTGTCTCTCTCCCTCCCTTCCTCCTTCCCTCCCTCCTCCTCTCTCTCTCTCTCTCTCTCTCTCTCTCTCTCTCTCTTTCTCTCTCTCTCTCTCTCTCTCTCTCTCTCTCTCTCTCTCTCTCTCTCTCTCTCTCTCTCTCTCTCTCTCTCTCTCTCTCTCTCTCTCTCTCTCTCTCGATGCTTACCTGACACGTCTCTCCTTGCCAGGCTGGTGGGCACCGGCAGTCGAATCCTTTCCGCGTATCATAGAGGCAGGTGGCACCGTTTTGGCACGGCCCCTTCTCCGTGCAGAGATTGACGTGAGACGAGCATGAGCTGCCCTCCCAGTCTTTGGTGCAGATGCATTTAAATCCGGTACCGGAGACGGCGCACTGGCCGCCGTTTTTGCAGGCGCGTGTGGCCTGACAACGTTGCAGTGCCGGAGGGATGACCGGCTTTGGCGGGACCTGGCACGTCACACCGCTGAAACCGCCTCGACACAGGCATTTGTACGCTGTGTTGCCAAATTCCTCACAGGTGCCGCCGTTTTGGCACAGCTTGAGCTTGATGCAGTTCTGGAGGGCGGTGTTGACGGGTTTGGGGGGAATTTGGCAAGACATGCCCGTATATCCAGTAACACAGGCGCATTGGTACGTGCTGGAAGTCGCCTCTTTGCAAGTGCCTCCGTTTTTACACAAGTCAGCTTTTTGACACCGTTCAAGTTCACGGTTTACAACCTTATCGCAGAGATTTCCCTTCCAGCCTTCAGCACACGCACATTTAAAGGCATTACCAGCAGGTAAGCACGTGCCTCCGTTTTTGCACAAGCCAGCTTTTTGACATAGTTCAAGCTGATGGTTTACAACTTTGTCACAAAGGTTTCCTTGCCAACCATTAGCACACGCACATTTAAAGGCCTTACCAGCAGGCAAGCACGTGCCTCCGTTTTTGCACAATCCAGCCTTTTCACAGAGTTCGAGCTGACGGTTTACAACTTTGTCACAAAGGTTTCCTTTCCAACCATTAGCACACGCACATTTAAAGGCGTTTCTAGCAGGTAAGCACGTGCCTCCGTTTTTGCACAAGCCAGCTTTTTCACATAGTTCGAGCTGACGGTTTACAACTTTGTCACAAAGGTTTCCTTTCCAGCCATTAGCACACGCACATCTAAAGGCGTTTCTAGCAGGTAAGCACGTGCCTCCGTTTTTGCACAAGCCAGCTTTTTCACATAGCTCGAGCTGACGGTTTACAACTTTGTCACAAAGGTTTCCTTTCCAACCATTAACGCACGCACATTTAAAGGCGTTACCAGCAGGTAAGCACGTGCCTCCGTTTTTGCACAATCCAGCTTTTTCACATAGTTCGAGCTGACGGCTTACAACTTGGTCACAAAGGTTTCCTTTCCAACCATTAACGCACGCACATTTAAAGGCGTTACCAGCAGGTAAGCACGTGCCTCCGTTTTTGCACAAGCCAGCTCTTTGACATAGTTCAAGCTGACGGTTTGCAACTTTATCACAAAGATTTCCTTTCCAACCATCAGCACACGCACATTTAAAGGCGTTGCCAGCAGGTAAGCACGTGCCTCCGTTTTTGCACAAGCCAGCTCTTTGACATAGTTCGAGCTGACGGTTTGCAATTTTATCACAAAAATTTCCTTTCCAACCATCAGCACACGCACATTTAAAGGCGTTACCAGCAGGTAAGCACGTGCCTCCGTTTTTGCACAAGCCAGCTCTTTGACATAGTTCGAGCTGACGGTTTGCAACTTTATCACAAAGGTTTCCTTTCCAGCCATTAGCACACGCACATCTAAAGGCGTTGCCAGCAGGTAAGCATGTGCCTCCGTTTTTGCACGAGCCGGCTCTTTGACACAGTTGAACCTGGCTGCTTACCGAGCCCCCAGCCACATCTGGTGTTTTGCAGCCAACGCCTTTCCATCCGGGGGGACACAGGCACTTAAACTCGCGGTCTCTAAGCGGCACACACGTCCCGCCATGTTTGCAGAGTCGGTATTTGATGCAGCTCTGCAGTGCCACGTTGCGCTCCTCAACGACGGCGGCTCTCCACTGGCACCTGTTTCCCCGCCAGCCCGGAGCACAGTCGCACTGGAACCGGAACCCTTGCGAACGGCAGGTGCCGCCGTTTTTGCAGATTCGCATGCGGACGCATACGTCCATGGCACTGGAGCGTTTGGTCCGTCGCAAGGATCTCGTGCAGGTAGGAATCAGGTCTGTGGGTCGATTGGAACAGTCAGTCGTCTTTCGGTAGTGCTAGGTCGAAAACTCTAACATACGCTCAATAAAAGTCTAGTGAATTGGATGTGAGCCTAAACTAATTTAGTACACAACAAATATGTAGAGTAATACAAACTTTACATAGAGTCATCACTTATTTCACCATAAAAGTTTGAGCAAAAACATATTTATTGAGAGACCCAGAGCATCAAAATTCAAAATAATTACCCCCGATGCACTGAAATCCTACCGCTTTGAAATAAATGCCCATAGAAAGTGTACAAGAAAGGGTGAGGTTAAAACCACAATGGAGTAAAAATACTCGTATACTGAACGAAGCCATGGTCGTGTTTTGGCCGATCTGCCGTTCCCGGTATAGGTAGGTAGAGGTCCGCACCTGACACCGCCGTCCAGCCGGGCCGGGCCTCACAGCCGCAGCCGAGTCCCAGCGGCCGGTCGGGGTCGCGCCGGCACCGCCAGTCGGCGCCGCACGGGTCGTGCTCGGCGCACGGGTCCCGTTCCGTCTGACACGAGTCGCCGCTCCAGGCGGGCCGGCAGCGACAGCGCTGCTCGGACGAGGCCGTCACCCCGGCACCAGAGGCGTTCCGGTAGGCGGCCTCAGTGTCCACCATCTTAGGTGGCGGCGGACGGGAACAGAAAACGCATTGGTAGTTGGTGGGGACTCGCAAATAGAATTCTTATCTTTCTCAAATGTGAGTATACATGTAGCTACATACGGTTGTGCATCAATCTAATAAAAATCAAATGCTTGATTCACAATACAATTGAAATTTGGGATAAAGCATCGAAGCTCGCCAACGTTTAACATTTCTTTCTTTCAGATGCTGATTTACCTCATTAGTTACAAGTTAACCTGCACTTTCATTCTTACTACGGATAAAACAGGGATGACAGTGCTTGTTGTGACGAACTAAAACAACAAACATTACATTTGCCTAAAAATTAATTATCTTCATAAATAAAAGTGAATGTAATCGCCAATCGGATCCCGTAGATCAAACGGTGCCAATCAAATTTGTTTTGCTTTTTATAAGACGATCAGGTACCATGAAAATATGGTCAGTAAAGAACACTGATAATTGAAAATACAAAAATGCGAGGGGGATAAAAATCAGAGTAAGGTCATTCGATAGGCAAGTTGCTATTTTTATGTTTCAGAAGTCTTTGGGTAAGCTCATTGAATGTCTTTTCAGATGTTTTGCATTTATGAGAAATGACATGCATGAATTACAGGCAGTATAAGTGGAACTCGGTGCGTTCATTGTACTTACAACGCAATCAGCTCTGCCTTGGTACTGTATATCGCAATGCAGGTTGTCCACAGGACATCGCAGCTCGCGCCGTCTGGTGTAGTTTTCAAACAGGACAGGATCGGGGTAGCACAGAGATGGCGGAGAACACTTCGGAATGGAGGGTGAGCGGCCTCCCGTATATGCATCATTTGCTATTGCCCTGTAAAACACGTCAGTAATGAGTAAAGTATTCCACGATAGATCGACCAAAGCTGTGCACCCTCATATTTTATTTTTCGCTCAAAATTCGTCTAGGGGGTTGTTTTGGGCCGGAAAGCCAGCTGTGGCGATAATTTTTTTTTTTCGACTAGCGGTTAACGAGATATAGCCTCGGGCAATTTCTGGAGGTCACGCTTCAACCCTATGTTTGGCGGCTCATAACTCAAAAACTATTGACTTTTGTATAAGGATAACTTTATGTCTTCCAACTCAAAATCAACCAAGGAAACTTTTGGCTATCTCGGATTTTCGATTTTCGAAAATTTTGGTCACGTGACCTCTTGACCTATTTTTTGAAGAGTGACCTTGACACTTTCCCACCTGAAAGTTAAAATTTGGTCTGATGACGATTCAAACCTTATCAATGGTCGTTCATATGCGACAATAAAAAACATGGCTATCGGCCTGCATTGACCTCAGGTCAGGTCATCTTTGTGACCTGCCCATTATAAGTCAATGGCAAAAGTACCGGCTAGGCCACTAAAACGCATCGGACTGGTACAGTTACTTCATAATCATACCATATTAGGTTATTATTGATCAGTCTGGTGCAATTTTGCATCAGTGACCCGCGGAAAGGTCATCCGAGGTCACATTATGACTCACGACATTCATATGCCTTTTATGTCTATATCTTTTGATAGAATAGGTATAGGGATTTGGGAAACACATCAATTAGTTCACTTTGGCCAGGCGCATCATGCCATACGCAGCCTTATATGTTAAGGTCATTTCGTGACCTTGACCTAGGGTCAAATTTTGGTCAAATTTCATATTTGACCTTTCGAAATAAAAACTTATACAATTCGATCCGACTGGAAAAAGCAAACACGATGGCGCTATTTTATACATCTGACTTCATAAACATAATAAGATATTGGCGAAAAACGTTTTTATTCCGTGAAAAATGTTTATTTTCAGCCAGATTAAATAACAATATTTTGGCGTGGTAAAGGCATTCGAGGTGCATAGACACGTTGGCGTAAGTACTTGTACCTAAGCAATTCACGCTCATATGACTCGGTGTTGCGGTCATTTCTACAGGTACCAATCTAAAAAAAAAAAAATAGCATAGGTAGAATATGTGATGATCAGCAGTTTCGTACATTTGGCATGAATAATAATCACTCACATAAAACATTTTCCTATGTACACCCTAATCGGCACGCACGGCACACAGCAAACCGACAACATATTCACAACAACACAACACAACATTGGTCCGATCCAACAGTGCAACTTTCCAAGCTCGTCTACTTTGTATGTGCTTATCTAAGACACTTTGACTTCCTTGCCCTCCCGATCTTCTGAAAGCTCGTGGACGCGGACTGTGGTCAGGTCAACTGGACAGAATCTGTGGTACTGTCTCGTCCCCTTCACAGTTTTGGCCCTGGCGAAGCGAGCTTGTGAGTGATTTATGTGAGTGATTATTATTCATGCCAAATGTACGAAACTGCTGATCATCACATATCTACCTATGCTATTTTCTTTAGATTGGTACCTGTAGAAATGACCGCAACACCGAGTCATATGAGCGTGAATTGCTTAGGTACAAGTACTTACGCCAACGTGTCTATGCACCTCGAATGCCTTTACCACGCCAAAATATTGTTATTTAATCTGGCTGAAAATAAACATTTTTCACGGAATAAAAACGTTTTTCGCCAATATCTTATTATGTTTATGAAGTCAGATGTATAAAATAGCGCCATCGTGTTTGCTTTTTCCAGTCGGATCGAATTGTATAAGTTTTTATTTCGAAAGGTCAAATATGAAATTTGACCAAAATTTGACCCTAGGTCAAGGTCACGAAATGACCTTAACATATAAGGCTGCGTATGGCATGATGCGCCTGGCCAAAGTGAACTAATTGATGTGTTTCCCAAATCCCTATACCTATTCTATCAAAAGATATAGACATAAAAGGCATATGAATGTCGTGAGTCATAATGTAACCTCGGATGACCTTTCCGCGGGTCACTGATGCAAAATTGCACCAGAGTGATCAATAATAACCTAATATGGTATGATTATGAAGTAACTGTACCAGTCCGATGCGTTTTAGTGGCCTAGCCGGTACTTTTGCCATTGACTTATAATGGGCAGGTCACAAAGATGACCTGACCTGAGGTCAATGCAGGCCGATAGCCATGTTTTTTATTGTCGCATATGAACGACCATTGATAAGGCTTGAATCGTCATCAGACCAAATTTTAACTTTCAGGTGGGAAAGTGTCAAGGTCACTCTTCAAAAAATAGGTCAAGAGGTCACGTGACCAAAATTTTCGAAAATCGAAAATCCGAGATAGCGAAAAGTTTTCTTGGTTAATTTTGAGTTGGAAAACATAAAGTTATCCTTATACAAAAATCAATAGTTTCTGAGTTATGAGCCGCCAAACATAGGGTTGCTGCGTGACCTCCAGGAATTGCCCGAGGCTATATCTCGAAAACTGTAGGTCAAAAAAAATTATCCTTGCCACAGCTGGCTTTCCCGCCCATTTCTACCATATACACCAATTTTGAGCGAAAAATAAAATATGAGGGTGTCAATTTATTTTTTTTTTTGGTCGATCTATCGTGGAATGCCCCAGACTTAGGTAACCCAATAGATTTTCTTTTATTTTCATTTTATTGAATATAAAGGCACAAAATATATAGCTTACAAATGAGCACATAAGTTATGTGACATAACAGAGAGGCAATATAACATAACCAAATTAACGGCTGTTTCATCAAGCCAGCCATCAAACCATTCTTTGAAAGACTTGTGTGTGGTCGTTCCGGGAAGCCGTTGCTGTGAGCTGACTGGTAGAGTTGCAAAGTTTTCCCAATGGGCTGCTACCGGCACCGCCCCGCCCCACAAACATTTTCTGGGATACCGGCATGCTACCACGTCCCAAGCAAAAAAAAAAAAAAAAAAAAAACGCCAAATTACCGGCATGATAAAAAACATGCATTCTTGATCCTGGCTTGCCCCTACATGAGATGTCACATTTTGGCAATTTCAGTAACCGCCCCACCCAACAGCCACCCATTGTCCAACTTATTACAATTCAATAGCCTCTTAGTGTCCAAAGTTTGATTGAATCATATGCTGATAATTTTTTGTGCAAAATCAAAAATACCGGCATGCTACCGGCAAGACATGCCAGATACCTACCACGAAAAAACCTGCGGTAGTGAAAAATTACCGGCATGCCGGTAGTGCGGTAGGGAAATTTTGCAACTCTACTGGCGTAGGTATTTATCCGGCGCTAAATATCCATAACATTTTCACACCATCTTGGACATGGAAACTAGTTTTTCGGAGCGGCTCTGCCTGACAGTTATACTGTGCCGCAAGGCAGCGCCGACAGAACGCCTGTTAGGTAGGCTGTTCCGCAGGGCACTGCGCCACCGCGGGCTTTTGCGCTTCGGGCTGCGTTTGAATGGTGATAGACAATTACGAATTGCAGGGAGTCTTGTGCATGCTGATTGATGCTGCTCGAGTATGAACAGTGTTGAGCCCATGAGCCAGAGGAACACAACGCTGTTTGAACATTAAATGTGTTGTGCTGACTTGATTTAGAGTAACAGGCAAGAAATTAATGATCAGCTTACCGTGAAATAAAAATCAGCAATACCGCTGACACCGCAAGTTTGCTGTAGTCACTCATGACGATATCTTGATCTTATCAAGTAAATAATATATAAAACAATCATGTAGAAAATGGAACACATGTGAATATTACCGATCATGGCTAATTCAGTGTAATGTAACCGTTTCAGATCCCTTTTCTCGATATTTACTGCCACGACGTATTTTCCCATGAAAACGGTTAGCAATAATCAATTGCTATCTGCTGTTCGTACTTCAATAACATAGGGTATCCCTTAATTCATTTCATCTTCATTAATGTTCATGAAATATTTAAAATCCGGCGCTAAATATCCATAACATTTTCACACCATCTTGGACATGGAAACTAAACGCAATGGAGCATTGCGTCAAATATGTCACAACGTTTTACAAAGAGTTCAATGCGTGACAAAATATCAAAAGTACTTTAGATTGCGAGAGCAACCGCAGGATAGGTCAAAGGAGGATATGCGCCCGGTGCGAAATCACGTTCACTGGACATGGTCTGCTATAAATTATTACCTTCGCGATATAAAACAATTGAAATTCGTTAAAAGGTTGCATGGTCTGTTCAACTATAGGTATGTAGGTAAGTACAATCACTTTAGCTTCAGAATGCACTTTTCCGGAGGAACGCCTGTTACTAAGCTTCTTGGCTTCAAGGATATAATATCAAGTCAAGCTTTACTTATGTTTTATTTAGGCATAAAAATGACATCTTTAAGAAAAGAAAGGAAACCAATTTATGCCTTTCAGTCGAGATGGGCTTTGGTGGATTTGTGGAGCTTTAGTGGATCCCGATCCGCTATCCATCCGCGGGGGCCGGGGGTGTACTGATAGCAGTAAACGGTGATGGTATGCCTACTAATATAACTATACCTAGGTGTGTGATTCTTATCCGTGGGTCATAGTTCGTGCAATATAACTAAAGCGTCATGGAATAAACGTCATTTATATTGAGCTACATTACAATGCGTCCAACACTCGACAGATCGACCCCGATCAAACCCAAGATACCTATAAGAAACAGGTAGATCCGATGTTTGAAAGTAAAGCCCCAGTCACAAATTTGAAGCACCTGTGACATTTCCTGACACCCACGTGACTATTGTATTAACTTTTGTGTTTTGCGATGTTTTGACCTTATTTAAAGTACTGAAAGCTCAAAATGTATGATTAATGTTGTTTAAAGCAGCATTTTAATAATTATGTTTGTAAATTATCGATAAGCTGCTTATAGCAGGTCACGTGATTGCTACCAGATTATGTGCTCAGAAAGCATCTTTTCAACTTCGATTTTGAATAATTTTTACCTCCTTTGAGGCCAAATGGTGGACGGTTTGAGGCACACGATGAAATGCTGAATCTATTGATACCAAAATTTATTCGTTTTTTGCATTTTTAGACTAGTATATCCTGGCTCAAACTTTGACCAATTTGTGTGTAAACCCTATGGTGAAGGGAAAACTTCACGCCCAGCAGGCGTCATTACAGTGCTACCAAATCGTGTTTGGTGGGGGTCGATCAAACCAACCGCTGAACAATGTCACACTCGCGTTGCCATGGTGACGACCAATAACTGGGGGTCGCCCATGGTGGCAATACAACTCTCCGAACCTCACACCTCCCCCCAGGTCGGTCCGTATGTCTTCAGCCTCGGATCGACCTGGAGTCTCTCTGGGGGCTGACGTCGTCGGCTGCTCCGTCGTGGGGAGAGCTCAGACTCGCCCAGAGAAAACCGCACCGTCTTGCGGCTTACCGGAGCCGGGGTCGGTGACAACGTCTCGCGTCTTCTCTGGCTCGGATCTGCTCGGCTTGGATCTGGATCTGCTCGCTGGGTCGCGACGATCCCACGGAATGGCCGGACATGCCTGCGGTTACGCCATGGGGTGCGGCCACTAGGCGTCTTGATCAAGTAGCTTCTGTGGCTCCCGATCCCCACTACCTGGCCGGTCCTGTCCCATAGGCCTGTGTCCGGATCTTGCAGCGATACGTATGCTCCTATACGTAGAGGTCTCAGCGGCTTGGCGCTGGTGTTGTATGATTCTCTGGCTGCTGCTTTCATCTCCTCCCCCTTTCGGTCGCAGTCTTCCGCTGACCTCTGCCATCTCTGATCGAAGGCACGATAGTGCATGGGAACTGCCGACCGAACTGGATGTCCATACAACACCTGGGCGGGAGAGCGTCCGTCTCCTCGGGGCGTGTTTCGGATTTCCAGGAGTCCCCTGGCGAATTCGTCACAGTCTGTGTTTCCTGCGACAGACGTCTTCTGGAGCAGTCGCTTTACGAGTTTGACGGCTGACTCGGCGTGGCCATTCGCCTGGGGATAGTGTGGACTGGACAATATATGTTTGACTCCCCAGCGTTTCAGAAACTCCTTTGTGTGGTGCGCTGAGAACTGTGGGCCTCCGTCACTCCTCAAGACGTTCGGCACGCCTGTAGAGGAGAAAATCTCGCGTAGAGAGCAGACGAGCGTCCGAGCAGTCGCTTCTCTCTTACAGGACACGACGATGGGCCAGCCAGATAGCCTGTCTGCGTACACGAGAAACGTCTTTCCAGCGTGATGAAAGAAGTCTACCGACACGGACTGGAAGACTCTCGTTGGACGGGGATCTGTCAAGAGGGGTTCCTTTGGCAGGCTGGGAAGTCTCGCATGGCAGGCTGCACATGCCGAGACGACGTTACTGATGTCTTGGTCGATGTTGGGCCAGTACACTGACTGTCTGGCGCGTCGCTTAGTTCGGTCTACGCCCTGGTGACTGTCATGTAGACGTTCCAGTACTTCACGTCGTAGACTGTGTGGGATGACAAGACGTGCTCCGCAGACGAGCAGGCCGTCGTCGATCGATAGCCGCTCGCGAACGCACCAGTAGGGGCGAACCAGGCTGGGGAGGTCCGCCTTGTGTTCAGGGAATCCGTTCATGACTGACTCTGTCACCTTCTGGTACGTCTCGTCTGTTCTGCTGGCTTCCCTCACTTTCTCCAGGATGATGTCTTGCATCGGGGAAGCTGTCGTCTCGTCACCGTCCTCTTCATTTCTTATTCGAGCCAAGAGTGTGCTTCTCGTCTGGTGCACGACCTCTCGCTCTGCTTCCTCGTCTTCAGGGCTCGGCTGCTCCACCGGTGCCCGAGATAGGGCATCTGGGAGATGATGCTTCTTACCAGCTTTCCAGACTGCTGTGAATGTGTAAGCCGTGAGCTTCTCCCGGAGTCGTTGGAGTCGCGGGTTCTCGATCTCCGCAAGTGACTTGCTGTTCAGGATCGGTACTAAGGGTCTGTGATCAGTGATGATGTCGAACTCCGACATTCCAGCCAGATAGATGTGGCACTTTCGCACTGCCCATGTGATTGCCAGCATCTCTAGCTCCACGACGGCATATCGTGACTCAGCATCAGACAGAAATCTGGAGCCGCACTGGACCAGTTTCCACTCTTGGTCGTGGCGCTGTAGCAGCGCGTAGCCCAGGCCGCCGACTCGCGAGGCGTCTGTGTGGATGGCGGTTGGCAGTGACCGGTCAAAGTACGCCAGCACGGGAGGGGTGACAAGTGTGGCTTTGACCGTCTCGAACGCTGCCTGGTGCACCGATGTCCAGCTCCATACGTTTCTTGGTCTCAGCAGGTCTTCGGTTACCTTTGGTAACCGAGGGCGGCTTTTTCGAGTTTTACGACTTTTTAGTTTTTTTTTTGTTTTGTTTTAGGGGGGAAGTTCGCTTACCGAAATATGCATAATAGGCGGCGGTACGGGGAGGGCACCGGGGCACCGTGCCCCCCCTTTGATTTTGGAATTTTAACATTAGCCCTATGGGCGTTGCATGGAAAGAATGGGACAAAAAGTCGGCAGTGCCCCCCTCTCTCCTTAATTGAAGGTGTTCCGTTCCGCCTTTACTGGAAATATGTTGCCCCGATCGCACCGCATAGGCATAAGGCAGATGCCCTAAGAGATTGGCCCGCGAGTCCCAGGTACCGGCCATCCGTCTATCACCCGGCGGGCACGCCTTTCCCGCCAGAGGCACCCTGATACCGCGGACTGGCCTCGCACGTCACACGTGCTCTGGTTCTCCGGTCCACATTCCATGCATATCGCGAATATTTTTGTACCTTACATCTGTAAGAATCTGGGTTCTGCAGGCAGTGTATGTACCTAAATAACACAAACCCACCGTTCCTGCCCACTCCCTTCCCAGCATTCCCTACCTAAGGCTTCTGTTTGAGCCTGAATCTTCCGAAAAAAACTCCCGATGACTCCGATGCTAGGTGTATGTATGTATGTATGTATGTATTGACGATCAAGAGCAATCCACAATCGGCGTGGCGATTACACTGTAGTAAGTAGGTACTTGTGCACAGCGTAATGGACAAAACTTCATAACAAATATTTGCGCATTTGGGGTCGGCGCCGCCGCCATCATAGATCTCTATGGGCATAAATATAAATCTATGGGCGCCATGCCCGCCAGCAGCGGAGTTACGGATATCAAACTACTATCAGATTGACGAACATTGCCTGACCTTCCACATCATGAATGTATTTTATGCGCAACCTTTGTAAATTTATGAAGGTACGATATTATGAACTGAGAATGTAAACGAATGTGTTATATGAAGCCAGCTGAATAAGCACAGCAAACTCGAACAAAACTTTAAAAATTAAAACTTTTTGTATAATTTGTCAAAGTTTCTTTATTTTGAAATACTGAATCGTATTAAAATTATAAAAGTGACTGATAACAATTAATTCTACAATCAATAATATAAATAAAATGAAAATGAAACCCAACGCTGCTCAGGCAGAGTGAGATCAGCTGACTGAGTTTCGGTCACGTGGCCTTGGAAGTGATTCTCACTCGATCTACCCTCCTTTGTTTTGATCTGAAGTGACCCGGCTAGGGCGTTTGGGGGCTGCAGTCAGGGCTGCAGTCGCTGCAGTCTGCGTCGGGCTCCGCGGTGTTAGGTGTGTGTGGTGGTTGTGGAACTTTTATACAGCGTTTTGCCAAATACATTCACATTTATTTTGGTATTAATATTTACTATACCAGGCAACAATCATTGATTCAAACGTTTTGGAGACGCTTGAACTCAAACTTCCTTTCCAACGGATCAAGGCTTCCAGCTGAGAGCTGAAACAGGTTGAGGTAAGGTTGCTTTTATTTGTAAGCTATGGAAGGCATCAGTCCTCATTCAAACATACTTAAAAATCTAGCATGCATTATTCTTATGCACCTCTGTGCATGCAAGTGATGTGCGCAAGAATGAATGCAATTGAGGAGGTACAGGTCTCGCGTGTTTAAGTGGTAGATTTTGCACCTAGAAAATTTAGTGTACTTCAGGCTATATTTTTGTCATCTTAAGCTTTTAAGTGTTGAAGATGTGATCAACTTGTTGGTTCACAAGCTGGCCATGATTGTGTAAAATGGCTTCATCGTAGATCGATTAGTTTCTGAGATATTACCGGAAATGTAAAGGTGCAAAACCTACCGCTGGTAGGTTTTGCACCTAATCTTGCGGGAGCTGTACCTACTTGACAATGTTGAGGTACCTACTCAACTCACATGCAATTTCCTGATTGCCCCAACCAAACAGTCTGTTTCAGTCTTAAGATAGGTTGTGATTCCTCTTTTTATTGTGCATTGACTATTTCATACCTTGGCAACATTTATGATATTTCTGATGCTGGAAAAGTCAAACTTTATCAGCAAATTAATATAGGTGGGCATAAGACATGTGCATGGTTCCTAGAAAATGAATCTGGGATCTGATCCCTTACCTTGCCTTACCTCACCTTACCTACCTTACCATTGGCTGGACTCAGACTTTGGGAGGCCAGAGCTTGCTCTATTGCTCTATTATTTGCTCTTTGCTCTAGCTTAAGATCCCATGGATCTTGATCTTGGATCTAATGAGATCATACCTATATCCAGCTCTCCCATTTGTCAAGAGATCCATTGGGATCATAGATTCAAACCTGTTATTGTCTAGAGATCAGATTCGATCATAGATCCTTACTTCATTTTTGTTAACACTTAGGCAGCTCCTCAAGAAACATCTGCTGCAATTTGCAGTAGTTCTGTGGGGATATCATTTGACTGTAAGTCACAATTCATAGTTTTGTAGCCACAGGCATCAATTTCTGAAAGTTATTGGTCAGGCTCTATTGATTTATTTTAGGATAACAAAGTCATTCTTACCATGCAGGGCCATCATACAGAATGTATGCAGGGGGATACATTCTGTATGATTTTTTTTTTTTGCAAATGCAAATATAATTTGCTAGAGTGACCATTGCACTTTGAAAGCTCATTAGCACTGGCTTTCAGCTCACTGCTCAAGCTGAATCCCAATGTGGAATGTGCCTGGACATTACCTTTTACAGCACAAGTGACAAAACATTAGTGATGATTTGGGCTCTTGGAGTTGGGCCACAGTTTTGAAGGAGGAATTGACTTATCCACTGGCCAAGGTCATCTGTTAATCTTGTGGGCAAAATGTTTCACAGTTTTAACATGCCAAGGAAGGAAACTTGGAAACTTCACTTCTAGAAACACAGCTGTTTTTTCATCAATAATAAAAGCTTCAGCACCAAATGAAGTAATAAGTAAGTGATGAAATAAAGGAATGTATATTGCACATTTCATAGCGAGATATGCTAAGACTTAAGAGCACACATAATTCATCTCCATTCATTGAGCACCATATAACTTCTTGTGAAAGTCATGCCCCAGCATTATCTCTGGTGTGTGGCCCTCTCCTGAGTCCTGACCAGCCATGCCTGTGCTACCACAGGATGGAGGAGCAGAAAGTATGGGTGCCGCACCCAAGTGACGGCTACCAGCTGGGTCAGATCGCTGACCTGGCTGAGGATGGCGCCACGGTTCAGCCTCTGGACCCCAAGCGGCCGGCGGTGACCGTCCCCTACGACCGGCTCTACCCTGCCGAGCAGGACGATAACAAGGATGTAGACGACAACTGTGAGTACCGACCGACGGAGGGAGAATGGGAAGGTCCAGCGGGCCCCGTGAAACTGCTGGGGGAGGTGCGGACTGCTGCCGGAACTGGGCCCCGCTTACGGAGCTGGGACCTCCGATTGAACTGGAACCGCTGAGGGACTGGTTCTGCTGACGAGACTGGGAACTGCTGACGAGACTGGGACCGCTGACTGGACTCAGACCCGCTGACCTAACTGCTGGTGTGCGTGACAGTGAGACACGCAAACGTCTCGTTAGTGCATTGCTGTTTATTGTATGCTTTGGGGAAGCCTGTTGCGGCGATGCCCCTTGTGGACGATGCATCGAAAAACGACTTCTAGTAGGACTAGGCTGGAAAGTAACCAGCAAACTGTTGGAAGGGATGGCGGAAAAATTGACTGGTTTACCGGTGACGAGAAGAGAGTTGCTTTCCTTGGAAGGCCGTTGCTGGCGGGCTTGTCCCGTTAGTCCCCACTTCCACTGGATAGGGGAAAGGACGGGACGGAACACATGTGAATTAGTATGCGCATTAATTTCCTCACCTCCTGTGAGTTACTGTTGTACCGGGCGGATCAATCAACTTTCCTGCATAACTGGACTTCGTACCGCGCTCTATCCTGTAGTACTTATGCTCGCCCTCTTCTATCCATTCCAACCCCCGTCCTCAGCCGCCAAATTCCTCCATGACCCCACCGCCAGCTGTTTCCAATGGCGTCGCTGCCTGAGCCGGTTTTTGCCGCGGGCCGTGGCCGGGCAGCCTCCCCTCCCCCTCCCCCCAGCACGGCTTCCTGCCCACCAAACAATGGCGCCCGGTACCTGGGCGGTGCGTGTGACGTCACTGGTGCCGGCGGCGCCGCACCGCCCGCGGCCATTCGGTGCCGCCCGGCTGGACGGTCGCAGCCACGACCGCCTATAAAACCCAGAAGCGCTCTGCAGCGCTGGATACCGTTAATTCGCCTCTCCGGTGGCACTCTAGCACCGCTGACTGGCGACTTACGGTATTCTAAGGGTTGCTTTAGGCATGAAGCTGAACGTAATTTGAATTTAGATACAGGCTGTTGTGCGTTATGCACGGCCTGCAAAAGTCATATTTAGAATCACCAACTGCGACACGCCCGTCGCCGCTGGGAGCCGCCCCTGGCCATGTCCGTGACTCTGGCGACCGGTGCGCCGACCGGACTCTAACCCGAAAGGCTTGCCGAGCTTTCGAACCGGCTGATGGGCGCTGAGCGCTGATAGGGTATCAGGCCGGGCGGCGAGGTGGACGGGCGCGCTGGTGGCGGCAGGTCGGGTCCACCGGCAGCGGGATAGCTGGCGGCGGCTGGTCGGGTCCACCAGCAGCGGCTGGTCGGGGCAGCTGCCGGTGTGGCGTCACGTCACGGTTCGCCGGCGCCCCTCCCCGGCCGACGCCCCCTCCCCTCCCCCTCCCCCGGCGGCCAGCTGACCGTCACGGGCACGCCCACGCCTCCCCTACCTCCGCTGCCTCCCCTCCAACCGTCCGTCCCAACCGCCCGTCGGCCCAGCCGTTTCTGTCTCCGAGCGTCCTGGCTGTCTGTCCTAGCTGGCTGATGACAGCTGCTATCACGATCCGTTCTCTCTGGCTGGCTGTGTGTCTGGCCTTTCGGATGCTTTGAGCTGGACGTGGGACGCTGTGGGCGGAGCTGGGAAGGGAGGCAGTGGGTGGGGACGACCGTCTGCTCTAAGCCAGACAGGAAAGGGAAGCTTTGGTTGGGGAAGGGAAAGAGAAGCTCTGGGTGGGGAAGGGAAAGCTGTGGACGGGACGGGAAAGGGAAGCCATGGGCGGGGCGAGTGGATGATGCCCACATCCCGGTAATCCTGGCTGTGAACCCACTACCCAGTGACCCGAACTGATCGGAAACGCTCCGTTAGGGATGGTCGTCAGTACCGTGCGGTGCGGAGTGGTTTGGAATCAGCGGCCAGTCTTGTAGACAGGGCTGTTTCAGTGTTTTCCTTCCGTTATCCATCCCTAGTACCCGCCCCCCCCCCGTCCCTGTACTCGCCGCTCCCCAGGGTTTGCGGTTCTCCCCATCTGCGGCGTCTGTCGGCCCGGCGCGGTGCCGCGCGGCAGCTGTGACCAACAGCCGCGTGCGGGTGCCGCTGTGCAGCCCGCCCGGTGGCCGGCTAACCGTCCGGTACAGGGCAGGGCGACATGGGTCGGGTGGCGGACCCGTGAGTCATGGGCCTTGTTTGTTGTGACATTCAGATAGTGGCCGGCGAGGTTGGGGGCCGCTACTACTCAACATCGTTGGGACACTTTGTTTGGAGGAAATGGTAGCCAGTTGGTATGACGGGTTGGCTGCGGTGACATGCTCTTTGGTGATTCATAGCGCCAAATGTGGCTGAATGTCTGAATATTTTATGTTTTTCTTTTACTACATAGCCAGCTATTACCTGCAATCAGTTGAAATAACAAGCAGCTGTATAGCTAAGCTGCAATCTTTGCCATCACGTTAACTGCACGCAGGTTTGACCAAGAAACTCTGTGCAGCGCGCTGCCGCTGCAGCGGCACGAAGCCACGGTTGCGTGTCTATAGGTGCAAAGCGGAAAGTTTCACCGGCGTGCTCGCTCACTGATCAACTGGGCTAACCTTTTTTTTGTCGTGTATCACACAGTCTGAGTCACGGTCCTTGTGTGCACCATACATACTGCACGCAGCTACCCAGTGGAAAGCTCACAATGCCGGCTTGTGAGGAACTGAAGCGTGCTGTCAGATTTTGTGCTGCATGTGAACGGAAATTCGAGGCGTTTGAGGCTCAGTGAGCGTGAAATGGAAACCAGCCAAGGTTGCGCTATGAGTCAGACGCCTTGATGTAATGTTTTCAGAAAGTAAGGTGATAGACATTAGGCAGATCAGATTTTTTTTAGACCCAAGATATGATACAGTTCTGCTACCGGGTCTGCGGCCAGTGCAGGGTCAGATGTAGTGTTCATTGCCATGACTCTCAGAGAAGGAAGGTTCCACTCATGCCGAAATAAGTATGACGTTTTAGTTTCAATTTTGTGTCATATCTTTCATTGATTTGGCTGACTGCCATTCCAGTTGGCAGCTGCGATTGTGGATTGACTAGTAAAACATTTTCTGAACACTGAACAGTGATGATTGAACGGCTGTACCGTGCTCACTTCCCTGGCTAGGACACCTAAATTGTTCGTCTTGCTGCCAGCCTTAGCACAATGCATATCTTCAGTTCGCTGCTGACCCATACACCGTCCCATTTTTCAATCAGTTGTCGCTACTATCGTCTGTATTTGCCGTGTATTTTGACATGACACGCGTCGGAGATCTTGGCAACATGTCGACACCCTCCATTGATACACGATAATGCCTATGTCAATATGGACGGTATGTCTAATCTTAGGACCTAATCATTTGATTAGGCAGTAATGCTGTCGATTTGCGCAGATCTTCATGGAGGCACACCGAGGTACCCACCTGCCCGAGCTCGGGATTGGCGAATCTCTGCGATTATTTCATGAGCGCATACCTATGGCCGTTATCGTCCTCTAATCAGCGTCTGGTACTGTGCAAGGTTTTCAGAAACATGTACTGGGGACGTTTCTTGGATAATCCGATAAGACAGCACCACACTTTTGTATGGAGCTTGGCGGCAGATCCACTTCGGCGTCAGACTCTGATGCACATTGCACAGTATTACAACGCATACCTACCAGCAATGCAGCCAGTGCCAGGATGGACACAAACTTGTATTTCTAGCTCCACAGTGCCAAGAAACGTTCCATCATATTTTGATGCCATATGTGAGGGGCCATAAGTGGGCTACCATATGCGGCTGACTGTCATGACAGGGAGGACAGCGTCAGGTGGCCGCGGCTCTCCATTGATCAATTACCGTTAGATGTACCAGTTTGTACATCACAAACACCATCAATCGTAATCACCTAGTCATGATGCTGAGTCGATGATAACCGTAATAACTGTCCTACTTCGTAAACCAACCACGAGGCCTTGAGACGTCTATCAGCTGTACTGAGTTGACATTCCTCGCACAAAAGTCGTGTTTTGCGCGGCTCAGCGCTGGAGAAGTTGAGCGACTTCGTTCATGTTCGCTGGATCAGTCGACCGAGCATTGTTTGGTCGCCGGTGACTTGACTGACAGGATGGGCCGTTGCCGCGAGAATAACTCGTCCACGGAGACTCGCGGCAACCGGCTGGGAAAGCCAGCCTCCTGCGGTGTATTGTCTGAGAACCATCGCCGTGGAGACAACCGAGTGTGAAGGTCATGGTGACTCTGATGATAGCAATGACTTTCAGCCAGCCGGTTAGAAGAACCTGGCAGCTCGATCACTATTACTTCTCATGGCTCGCTCAGCAGCCTACACATCCTCAACCCATCGCTAATAGGAGGGTGAAATGGGAGCCTTGAACTGCAGCTTTTGTCTCTGCATGCGTGACGGGCTTATTTACTTCCTACATGCGCTGCTGGTTGGCAGTAGTTCCGACTCGCTCCCGCTCATCCCCAGTACCCCGGCCGCCTACGCTGCTCGGTGTCGTTCAGTGCGGACACCGACTCCGGATCACCGACGCGCCAGTCGGTCGGGCCAGAGGTCCCGCCGTTACCCTCCCTCCTCCCTCCCATCCTTCCCTCCCTCCCTCCCCTACGGACGTACGGCGGCCCTCGCTCGAACGCCATATGGCGTGGTGCCGGCCGGCGTGGCGTGGGGCCGCGTCGCTGCTACACACCGCTGGTCGCTGCGTGAGCCGCGGGTGACGCCGCCAGGGACGCCAGCCGGCTCAGACGGATAGGGAATGAGCGCAGAGGCATGTCCGGCTGACAAAGGCTTAAAACGACGATCCACTGCATCATGACAGACGCGTGGATATGCGATCATCATAAATGCTTTGATGAAATCCATGTGGAATGCGGTCGAAGGCAAGGCAACTTTTTGTGCCCCTTGTCATCCTGCGCTATGATACTTGATGGCAAACCACACCGCACGACTGTCGTTTTTCATTGTAGTTATTTCGTTTGCGATAAACATTGGACGCCTTTATGTCCGTACAGCTCCTGTGTTTTGTTTACTCTCTAAGCAACTACTTGTGGATACGCAAGGACGCGATGCCTTTTAAGTTGGAAATCCTCGCCACCTCACCTACCACCTCACGATGCAAGGAACGTTTCCTCCCCAGCCGAGCAGTTACCGGCGGGCCGCGTCAGATGGCCCGCTAGCCGATGTGTGTCGACTGACTTTGTGGGCGATGTGTCTGGCGGCTGTCTGTTCGGGGATGTATGTCGGACGGCGGCGGTGTAGCAGGTGGTGGGGTGTCAACTCTGAGGCACAGAGCTGGGCCACAGGCAGACAGAGACAGACGCCAGCTGTGTGATGGAGACAGACGCGGAGACGGAGACACACGGGCTGGGGGATAGACGGAGACGGACTGAGATAAACGCACGGCAGGGAGATATAAGGAGGCAGACGGAAGGATGGGAAGACGGACAGCGGCCGTAGGGAAAGCCCGGGGGCGAGTTTCGGCCTCTCCAGGCTAGCTGTTTGTGTGTACTATGTAGGTCCCGTACAACCGTCCTTGGGCGACAGTTCCATTTTCCTAGCGCGCTGGTGCCCGACCGCAGAAATGGGTCCAGCGCTCGTTGTTAATGACCCTCTCTAGTAAGGACACCTGACTGGAATTGCGAGCGCCTGCGCCGCTGTAGGATGGCACGGCAAAACCCGTGTCATCCACGGAACAATCAGGCTCATCACCGCGCCGGTCGGCCAGCTGGCGAGATATCATCGCTCCCCCAGACGTCGCCCGTGACACCAGACTGACTGCATTCACCGGACGGATGAGACTGAACTTCAAGGTTCTTGTTTTTTTTTATGCGGACACATAAAGCGGCCTCAACGAGAACCACAGAGAATATTGATCAAAGTACAGAGCCGAAGTTGAAGCTCGACCTCCTTCGTTCCTTCGCCACCGATTCGATACATTTGTGGCTACATTCGCCAGTGTCTGTGCCGCTGCCACTGCCTGTGCCCCTACCAGTGCCGCTGCCGGTGCCAGTGCCGTCGGTGCCGGTGCCGCCCCGTTCCGCGCGGCTGACCTGTACCGGGGTCAGTGATCGTCACGGACCCGGTCGGTGGTTCAGTCGGGCCGGGTGACGATGAAAGGCCACGCGCCGCGACTGAAATGGTCACAGCGCCGGGGCCGGGATGAAGGTCGCGCTGTGAAACAACTTTTCAAGCATTAACGACTGTTGTTGAATGTACGATTTTCTGCAGTCTGCATTGTACCAACCCTAGAGGTCCATTTGAAACTGCTTGTCCAGCGCCTGCAAATGTTCGATGTAACTTGAGTGGGTGGATGGACATCACAACGGCTTTATTTCTACTTAGAGGGGCCTCGATAACACCCGAGTCCCGTTTGTTGATCGTATCTTCAATCTGATAGGCAACCAAAAATGCCGATTAGCGAACAATCAGACGGATGTGCCGATTGCTGCTTTTATCGTCATCACAGGATTAGAACAGACGAATAGGCGGCCAACTATCTGAGTGTTACGAGGAAGTCTGATTACTATTTAATGACAGAATGTAATTGTAATGTTTTGGCTAGGCGTGCCGGACTCAATAACGCTGCTTTGCCAGGGTCGTCATATTTGCCAAAGCTAGTAACTCCATTGTAGGAGACGCGTCGGGGTCGATTCTGAACTGTGCGGACAGCTGTTCAAACACTGCAGACGGATTCGTTGCGTCCGAGTGCGTCTGGCTCCCTCGCGGTCCGACGCGCTCAGCTCAGTCCGCAGAGGAAGAGGGCGATTAGCGTTCCGCTAGCTTGCCGACCGACCACCTGTTACTGGTGGTAGTTCTCCCTGTAGACCGGCAGGTGGCACTGGTGGCTGTCATCGGCGACTGCCGTGTGTCATAGAACCATTGGCAGAGGTCAGCGAGGAATGAGGATGTCATGTGTCCTAAGGCAGGGGTCAGCGAGGCTGTGACGTGACCTTAGGTCGAGGTCAGCGCGATCGCAATGTGACTAAGGATTCCTGAGAGGTTGTTTGGCCTGTCCCTTATCTGCTTTCCTGACTGGCCCGGTGGCTAGCCGTGACCCTCAGTGATTGTGAAAATGTCACCTGACCTGACCTCACCCACCCGTCCTGGCTGTCACCTGGCCTGTTCCCCCGTGCCGAACAAGTTTTCCGTCGGATACGACCGAGAATCACCTACGTCACACATTCTATCGTTATCTTGTCGTTATCTTTAGTGCCGCGGTGACGCGTCGAGACACAGAAAAAGCAGGCCATCTCCGCCCGGGCAGCGGATTAGTGTGACCTTGAACAGCTGGGTACGGTGTCAGCTGAGGTTCCCACAGTGCCACGAGAGCCACTGATGGACAATCGGATGATAGCGGGACCGGATGTCCTCCCTCCAAGTGGCCAGCCGAGGACGGTGAACCGTTAGCGCTTCCGAAAGTCGTCAGGCGGTCCTGAGCTAAATTGAAAATGTGTGTATTGTAACAGACAGTAGTCGTGTGGTCCAACCGCATTTCGGTTATGTGATACTTTGAGCGTATTGAATATGAAATATCTCTTTACTCGTCATCAAGTCATCAAACACTACCTCATGTCCATAGTGTAGCTCCAGTCGACTGCTATGTCAGGCTCGCCGGGGCACCTTACTGTCCAGACCGTGTGCCCCGTCTCCAGCACACGGTCCGAACCGGACGCGACCTTTGACCTCCTGTGGGCGGCACAGCGTTGAGCGTGACCTCTGACCCGGGTCACCACCCCGGATCAGCCCACCGTTTTTGCCGTGAACTCTATATTAGGGTGGCTGAATGCACGAAGGTATGAATTTGACTGAGCGAGCCTCCATTAGTGAATCTCGGATCCGCCCCATTGACGCTGTATTAAAGGAACCCTCCCACCTTAACATTAGTTTTGAGTTGAGATAGCCAACTGCCAAGTTTGCGGCCAGGCTCAGAAACCACCATTTAGGTATCCTGGTCGCAACCCCCGCAGCTTTATGGTGTTCAAGAAATTTTTTCCCTTTACTTGCAGGGTGGGACCAGCGTGGTCCCTATCTCTTAACCATTACGGGAATCTGATAACGTCATCAGGCTTTCGAACGTCCGTTAAATGTTTGACTAAAACGTTTTGTAGCACGCGGTGGTATATGCTGCTTTGCGCGCAACAAATGCCGCACTTTCAAAAAAAGTCGCTAGGAACAGCGGAGATCCCAAAAAGTAAACAAAAGTAAAAGTCTAATATCTTGAAAACCGGTGAATATTTTTCGATGAAATTTGGTAGATATTCGTTTTTGCTCTTTCTGAACCGAGCGACATCACTTTCAGCCAATTCATTAACTTTTTTGAAGGTGGGAGGGTCCCTTTAACTGAAACTTATTACTGAGCGACTGCTAGATGGCGATCGTTTGCGCACCAGCTGGTACAGACATTAGCGTGTTTGTGTGTCGAGTTGTTCCGCGTTCCGGCGGGGCGATGTCATTCTACGACCAATCGCTGTCCTGGCGATGTTGTTCGAAGTGTTATTAGCGTCAGGAAGCTTGTTATGAGTTGGGGCATTCCCACGGTTATAAGAGCTGAAAATGTTTTTCGACACCGGAAGGAACTTAATTGAATAACGGCGGCGTATTTAACGCTTTTGTTTGATCCGATCAGTACGCAAAAGAAACATAAGGGAATTTTGTTTGATCAGTATGCACAAGAAACATAAGGGAATCTGGAAATTAGAAACTAGTTCTATTCTGACTACGCCCCGTGCCTTCTGTATTCTGACCGTTCTCTTGGCGTGTCGGCAGGTGCCCTGATGAACCTGAACGAAGCCACACTGCTCAACAACGTACGGCTTCGCTACGGACGGGACGCCATCTATGTAAGTCGCGTCACCGCTCGGGGGGGGGGGGGGCTGTCGAAGGCTGTGAGGGGATGTTTTTGGCGGGGGGGGGGGGCAGACAGCTGGGACTGGGTCATTGCTCTGGGAACATTTTTGTATTATTTCATATGAGATAACTATATGGAACAACTGGCCGCATATTCAGAACCTGCCCTCTAACATGCGCCAGACGTACCCATCAGCAAGGCCGCCCACAAAAATAGTTTGCCGAGGTAGGATCAACCAGACTGAGGAGTCTTCTTGCATTAGACTATCACGAAGAGTGTTCCAATCTGATCCGACTGGCACTTTGGCGTATAGCAACGTGGATTAGGTCGTCATTTTGTCGAGTCTCGCCATGATGCACATTGCAAGGTCTGGGTTATGCTTTGCTGCACTGAGCTATGTTGCAAGGTCGCGTCAGCCGATTCAGCACACAGCGGGCAACTGGCGGCCTCTCTCAGGTCTCTAGCCGATCTTGTATTGACTGTTGATACTCCTCACACAAGAACCTGGCGGGCCTCGCCAGGTCCCGGCCAACCTTGTTTGGCCAACCGATCCGGTCGTGCCCGAAATATACCCTGCCAGGGTTGAAGACCGAGACCACCGACCAGCGTGTGTTCCGCCATGGCCACGAAGCCTGTCCCTGCCCTGCCGCGATCGTGAAGTCGTGGCCATTGTGCCTCCCTCCGCGGCTACGTAGCCTGCCCTGCTGCGATCGAAGCGAGTCACGACCAGTGTGTGTTTCCGCCATGGCCACGAAGTCGTCACGCACCAGCAGTCATCTGTACCGACGCGGATAGCGGCGGCGGCGGCGGCGGCGGCGCGTCGATGGTGGGCGGTGGTGGCGGCGGGTCGGGTGGTGGGGACTGGGGACTGGTGATGGTTAGTGCCTGGCAGCAGTGGCCTGCGGCAGCAGCGCCGTCGGCAGGAAGGGGTTAGCAGCAGGTGGTGATGTCAGATGGATGATGTTCGGGGTTTTATGTTAATTTAAATGTTTACTTCAAGCTTCCGCTAAGAGGCGACGTGATGAAAATGGATGAAGAGCGGATGTTGACAGTTTTATCCCATATGACAGGCCTAGTTTTTTTTTACTGATTATGATGCGGATTTCTTTAGGGCTCCTAGATAAGCGTCATCGCCGCTGAATGACAGTTGACTGGCAGGGCGAAACAGGTGGAAAGTCATGTCTAGGAAGACATTTTTTGGTGGGGGTGGGGGGGGGAGGGGGCGTGTGGATAAGATCTCGCTAGACAACCGAAACTGGCTACTGCTGTCTGTGTGGAATGGACGCCTTACCCGGATTTGCTTATTTATTAATTCAAGAACTGTACCCTTGATCGGAGTGAGTCACTGCGGATGTAGTGGAGGGTCCCTTATACCTCCAGCCTCTCGACACACGACGTTACATTACCCCTCCCTGTCTTCTACGCCCCCTGACCCGGCGGCCGGGTTTGGTATCGGTTCCGAGGCACGCGCCGTATCGGAGTTCTGTGGCACCGATAGAGGAGGCACCATACCGTACCCGGCGTGCTCACGGCCGGTGCCACGCTGTGTTTGGGGGAGGAGTGTGGGTAGGGGGTCACGGTCACGCCCGCATCATTGAGGGTCACGGGTCGGCGACCGGTGGAGAGGGGAGTCGTGCTGCTGCCTCCACCGCTCTTGTTACCGAGTGGTGGCAGGCATGTCAGGAACAGGTGGTGGGGCGTTTTTCCACTGACTTCTGCTGGTTACCCAGACGGAAGACAGGCGAGCCAAGAGCCGCTAGTTACCCAGACTTGACGTATCCTCCATCAATTGGAGCTGTCTAATGCGTATGGTCTGCTATTAGGGGGACTCGTATCACAATACTAGCAGTGTCGCTGATGAAACCTGAGCCAGACGCGCCGCTCTCAATTTCCACCGCCGTGAAACCTCAGACGTCACAGTCGTCGCGCTACGGCGCCGCTCTCCCATTTGCATCCTGTTTGTGTCGTTACGGAGTGGCGAACCCACGACCGAACGCCGCTCTTCGGCTAGGCGTTTTAATGCCTCACCGATCACCCAGCTGTTGGTGCGTCAGATTGGCGGAGCCGTGATTGGGAGACGTCCGTCACCCGTCTGGGTTGACCCGGGGTTACCTGTGGTCAAATAATTCGTCGGTGTCGGCTAGTCAGGATGTTAAAGCAGTCGACTGCTGGGAACTAGCCGGGATGCCGAGTCAGTCCCTGATAGGAAATAATTGGAAGTTGGAACCTCGAGTTCGTCGCTAATGGAATAGTCTTGATTTCGGGGTGGTCGTTTTTGTAGACATGCCCGGGTGCTGGACGGTAGCGCTGTTGTGTCACGACCATCGAATGGTATGCATGTAGCTGGGACTGTTGCGGAACTGCTCTAGGATAGAGGGACGGTGATGGCTCTGAGGTAGAGCGACATGACTGTGGAGTAGTTCTGTGAGGTGCAAGCTGTCGTCTGAATCTCGGTCTAGGTCCCGAGCACTGCGCGTCCTGAGAATGTCCGTTGACTCGTTGTATTTCGGTGCAGCGAATAGGGCAAGCCAAAGGGAATTAACCTTCACCCATATGAGGGCTTGGCATGGAATGCGAAATTTTTGGTGGACAATGGTGGCGTTGTAAACTTATGTGCCCAATGTCCGTCATGCAAAAGTCTGCATTGCATCAGGTTCTCATGGGTCACTTAAAAACGGATGATTGTGATGGCCACTTGTATGCTCTGATGAACGAGTCTGTTTGGTTTAATCCCTCTTATCGTAACGGCTATCGCTGTTGTACTTAATGCCTGTGACTGGTACCCGATGCTATTCACTATCAAACCTTGTTGACTTGGTGATTGGCCATAAGCTTCTAACCCCACCCCGACGGCTTGGCTCTGTCTTGGCCTTGATTCAGTAAGAGCGCCTGCTAGTACCATTTGGAATGAAGTACTGGATTATGGAATGTAGTGCGGGAATGTGACATTTAGCTGCTCTGCATTGTTTTTGCTTGTGTTTTGTATCTGTTGCGTGTATTTTGCCTGTACGACAGACAGGCCAAAATGGTAATTATGAGGGTATGTGGCATAACAAGAGCATTATCACAATGGAACAATCGCTGCGGCGGCACAAATGACGTCTTTGTCCTCCCCGGATCAGGGCCGACGTTTGTCCGAAGTCGGAGGCCATGAATCATAACAAAGGACTTAGCAGATGTTTTTTTTTTTTAACCTTGTAAGAAGACAAGAGCAATCTAACTTGCGAATGCATGTTATAAAAAAGAAAACGTTCGTGTGTTATGGTTGCTCGATGCTCCGGTTTGGCTGGGATCCTAGCCACCCAGTGGCTATAACCTCCAGCCCCCACAAGCATGGCTGTGTATTGTAAATGCCATGTTGTAACTGTACATTTCTCATCCATGCCGTAAGTCACGCTCTCCTCCCTCGTCTTCCGCAGACGTACGTGGCCAACATCCTGCTGGCGGTGAACCCGTACAAGGACATGCGGCAGCTCTACTCGTCCGAGGTCATCAAAAAGTACCAGGGCAAGTCCCTGGGCACGCTGCCGCCGCACGTATTCGCCATCGGTGAGTTATGAACAGCACGGGTCTGTTGAGTGTTCAGACACTGGTAAATGAATATGAAAGCTGCAGTTAAACGTTACCTTTAGCCGGTGCCGAGTCTCAAATCTCCGATCACGATCAATTTTTCGTTTTTTGAGAGATGGAGTTAAAATTTCGATGCTCCGCTTCTCAGTTTATTAAGAGCTTCAGCGATTTATTGCCTTAAAAATGTGGTTAATGCCGATTCGATAATTCACCCTCTCCTAAAAGTATACACCGAGTGAGCTACTGCATTTATAGAAGGTGCATGCCATGTGTTTCACTCCAGTTTGTTTGGGATTTTCAATCATGCGTCAGCTCGCGTGCCACTGTGGATGGGGTCTGCGTGACAATCCTCACTTGGCTAGGACTTGTCCACATAACTTGTCCATTTAAACTACTCACACTGGATAAACAGTCGCATAAACTCCTGGACAGTCCTTTGTTCTTAATTCCATTAGGTCTGTTTACACCCGTGTATAATTATCTGGCCCTGTTGGGTCCCCTACCTCGAGCCCCATCTGTCCCCCCTAATCCCGTCCACCATCCGTCCGACCGCACTATCGGCGACCCTGGCGAGCGGGGCGGGGCGGGTAGATACGCCGCTCGGCCGACCGGCCGGCCGGACAGAGTGTCGTGATGTCATGCTCGCCGCTACCGCCACGACCAGGTGACGCTATCTTATCCACCCGCCGCTGGCCCGCCCGCCGCCCGCCGCCCGGCGCGGTGCCGCCCCCTTTGTCAGCAGTTGGACACGGGGTGAAATTAGATGGGTATCGTAGGAGATAGCGCTCAAGTTGGCATAGGCTGGATGGTTTGAATTCAATTTTTGCCAGTTCTGATTATGAATGAAAGCCCTTTGTCCTCACCATTATCCAAAACAAAAGAAAGGTCAAGCCTATGCATCAGCAGTCAGCACTGGCGTGACTGACGAAAGCTTATTTCACATGCTTGATGCTGCATTGCTTCACTATGCTGTTGAAGCATTTTAAGAGAGTGGTTTCGTCACTGGCGGTGTCGTCACTACCCTTTTGAGTCATTCCGTTTCCTACTTTTCGCCCTTCGCGATTTGTGGAGCCAAGCAGGAAGCAATTTGAAAATGTTCTTAACTCCGGCAGCTAACGATACATTGACTTATTGCCAGGAGGCAGCGGAACTTTTTTGAATCGATTTTAGATACACCCAGTCATCTATATTATAAATCCTAAATCTGACTAATGCGCATACTCGTCTGTTTGTCCCTTACCTGCACTCACAGTAGAAAGATTCCATCCAGTATCGACTGACTCGCTCCTTCTGTTTCGCAGCCGACAAGGCGTTCCGCGACATGAAGGTGTTGAAGCAGTCCCAGAGTGTGGTGGTGTCTGGTGAGAGCGGCGCCGGCAAGACCGAGTCGACCAAGTACATCCTGCGCTACCTCTGCAAGTCGTGGGGCAGCGCGGCCGGAGAGATCGAGGCCAGGATACTGCAGGGTGAGCAGCCGCCGGGGAGCTTGGTGGGAGGTTGATAGCTGCGTATAGGGAACAAATGGTGGCTGGAGTATTGAGGAATGTGCTCGGGAGGACCGAAATGGGTTGTGCTCTAGAGGACGAACCTGAGGCATGCTGGAGAAGTGTCCTCGGGGACACGGAATAAAGGCCGCCGTCCACTGCGACGGAATTCCGTCCGGAGTCCGTCCGGAATGTCGCCGCACGCTGGCCGCATCCGGTCCGGATGCGGTCCGGATGCGGAGAGCTAATAAATGTTTCCTATCACTTATTACCAAATAAAATATTGCAAGTAACCAGCAGCGAATACTCTTGCCATTCTAAGGAAATAATTTTCACTTACTTCATGATGATCGAGTTCCAATTTTTCGTACAATTCACAATGTTTGACTCCGATACGGCCCCAAACCACGTCTGTTCCGGACGTTCCGGATGCGTTTTCCGCAGAAAAGTTCAACGCGTCGGACATCACTCTTCCGTCTCCGTAGCAACCGCATCCGAAACGCATGCGGAGAGCTGACGGAAAATCAACAGCTGATTGCCGTTCGGATGCGGTCCGGACGGAGCGCACACGATTTCCGTACGGACCGGATGCGCCCATAGGGTTCTGTGTTAAATTCCGTACGGACCGCACGCGTTCCGCACAGTGGACGGCGGCCTTAAGAGCGGAGGGCCGCGTGGATGAGCTTTGGATGGCTGTTGAAGTCTAGAACGTTTATTTGGCTTGTGTTTTATGTGACTGAAGTTTATTTTGTTTTGGCTCGGGAACGGGATGTTTGGAGTTTCGTGTGCAATGCCGGCTGGGAAGCTGTGACGTGTTTGTCTGGTGTTTTGTTTGTTGTCTGGTGTTGAGTTTGCTCAGTAGCGAGGGTAAAGCTGACTTGGTTGAGTCGTAGGTTATCTGTCCAGTGTCCACATTTTTTCCGGCTGGATTTATCCGCTGATGGCTCGGGGTTCCATCGTTCATGATTGTTCCTCCATGTGTTATGACTAATCAACGTGAATCAACCAGTGAATACATTGTAATATTTTATTTGTAGGATTGATAATTAACTTTTTACACACATAAAAAATGAACCAAAAGCTAACCAACATCTCGACTTTCCTACAGCTAACCCGATTCTGGAGTCGTTCGGTAACGCCAAGACGACTCGCAACAACAACTCGTCTCGATTCGGCAAGTTCATCGAGATCCACTTCAACGACCGCATGTCTGTGGTGGGCGGCTACATCTCCCACTACCTTCTGGAGCGGTCACGGATCGTTGGTCAGAGTCGGGAGGAGCGGAACTACCACATCTTCTACCAGATATGCGCCGGAGCGCCCGACAGCCTGCGAAAGCAGCTGCGACTCAGCAGCCCCGACCACTTCCAGGTGCGACGGGATGGTGCGGGGCGTAGAGTGGAGAGGGTGCCTGGTGTGGCGGTGATGATACACGCAAATATGGAGAGGCCGTGGGGTGACAATTTAAGTCATTGTGCGGCGGATGGTAGGGGGCAGAGTCGGGGAGGCTGCTATGTGCATTTTATGCAACTATCCGTTGTGCGTGTATTGGATACGATTCATGTAGAATCATGAGTGTGCAGATTACGTGTCAACTGAGTTCATCAAACATTGTGTGCGTCACTTGCACTCTCCCGTGACATTGACAAATATTTCTTGTCCCTCTGCACTGCAGTACACCCGGCTGGGCTGCACGCAGTACTTTGCCGACAAGGAGAGCAAACAGTCGATGAACGCCGACCGGCAGAGCGCCGACCACCGCAAGAAGGGTCCTCTCAGCGACCCGAACCTGGACGACGCCAAGGACTTCGCCCGGCTCGACAAGGTGGGTGATGGTGGGGTGTGTCACGGCGGGCGTGATTCATCAACGGAGCCGTGGAAGAGTGTGTTGCGTGAATATGAATATGCTGACAAAGCTGGTCTTTCCCTATAATGGGATAGGATGTAGGAACGCTCGCAATTTTACGTGTTGTCTTAATTTGAAGAAAGGTTTGTCAAATTATTAAGGTATAAAACGCTACCCTGATGTGTAGTGGCGGATGATGTGAACTGTTCCACTGATGCCGATCGTTGTGTTTCGTCAGGCGCTGGCTACTATTGGTCTGGGTGAAAAGCAGCGCCTGGACATTTACACGACGGTGGCGGCCGTCCTCCACCTGGGAAACGTCGCCTTCGAGGACAACCCCGAGGACAGGAAAGGTGAGAAAAACTGGGGACACAGTCCTGAGGTCGAAGATGCCGGGGCGAACCTGAAGATAGGGGAGAGTAGGACCATGTATGTTCGAGTTACCATCTAAAGCTCTGTCGCCCCTACTTTTGGCCAGTTTCCGAGCCTCTTCACTCTGTTCCCAAGGCTTCCAATGTCATGGGGCCTCTGCAAAAAGTCCTCATGCGTGTCTTCACTAGGATTTCCTGATCCGTAACTTGTGCAAAGTAGGTTGAACTGAAGTATCATGAATGCTATTTTTTTTTTGTTCAAAACACCTCATTCAAATGCAATGTCGCGCTCGTGCGCTATTGTTCTGTTTGTCTGGCTCAGAAGTCGGAAGTATCAGTTGCTCTTCTCTCCGCCAGGTGGCTGTATGGTCTCTCCATCGTCGGAGCAGTCTCTGGCCACGGCGGCCGCGCTGCTCGGCGTCGATCCCGACGAGCTGAACCAGGCCCTGCTCTCGCGTGTGATGCAGACCAGCAAGGGCGGCGCCAAGGGCACGGTCATCATGTGAGGAACGGGTACCGGGAGGGCCGCGCGGTGGGGCATGTAGTGGCAGGGAGTCAAGAGCTGATAGTGTGGTACAGTAATAGCACGAGTGCTTTTTGACTTCCCTTGGCTGCTGTGAATGATGCATGGATCGTAGCTACACAATTCTGAGAATTACGTCTAGGTTTTACGAATCATCGTTGTCTTTCCTTCCCGTAACTGACACTACCTACCACCCGGTGCTGAAGTCGCTAATTGTTTGGCCTTGCGGTCCCTACCGGCTCAAACTGACGGAGAGCTCGGCCATTATATACCTACGTCCCTAAGTAGCGGACAAACGTTCCATTTACCTGCGTTACTACCTACGTTGCATACGTACTAGCACACCTTCCCAGGTGATGGTGTACCTTCAAGTTCCCACCACCCGTAACTACGCCCCGCCCGCGCCATGCTGCTGTGCATTGCATCCCTTACTAACACCTCACCTCGACCCGGGGCTGACTACAGGGTGCCGCTGAAGACGCACGAGGCGCACAGCGCTCGGGACGCGCTCGCCAAGGGCATCTACTCACGCCTGTTCGACTACATCGTGTCTGTGATCAACCAGAGCATCCCGTTCAGCTCGTCCAGCTACTATATCGGCGTGCTGGACATTGCCGGCTTCGGTCAGTGGCGAACTGTCTCGGGGACGATCGGAGGGGATGGGGGGAGGGGGCTGGGAGCGCCGGGGCCGAGTGTGGTGGGACCAATGCAGAGGTCGCCAACGTGCCCGGAGTCCGGTTTAGAATTTAACGTTTTTGTCGTTGATGTTGAATAGGTATTAGCTGTCCGTGGATTGGGATTTATCCGGTGCTAATTATTGTCCTTGGCGCATAAGTGTCATCGTCGACCCGTTTCCGTCGAATCCCGTGTTGCTGTATTCGTTATTCATTTCATTTCCACTGACGGTTCCACGTGTCTCCTACTCACCTCCAGAGTACTTCACGGTGAACAGTTTCGAGCAGTTCTGCATCAACTACTGCAACGAGAAGCTGCAGCAGTTCTTCAACCAGCGCATCCTGCGCGACGAACAGGAACTCTACGAGCGAGAGGGGCTCGGCGTCAAGAAGATCAGCTACGTCGACAACCAGGACGCCATCGGTACGCGGCGTGGGCAGCGGGGGGGGGGGGGAAGCTGGACCGATGCTCAGACTAGTTAAAAGGATTGATAAAATGTTAAGATAAGTGTATTGTTTGTCCATGCTGGTGGCTTTGAACGAGTGATTCGTGACAAATGGCCGTATCAACTGAACTTACTGCTACTTGGCCTTTTCGCGGGACAATCATGACAACCACTTGTTGCACTATCCACGATCGTCACATCTAAAAATGGTAATCACGTTTTGTGTGTCACGACCGCCAACGTTAACAACCTTTGTTTGCAGACCTGATCGAGACCAAGGGCGGCATCCTGTATCTGCTGGACGAGGAGTCGAAGCTGCCGCGCCCCTCGGCCGTCCACTTCACCCAGTCGGTGCACAGCGGCTGCGGCAGCTCGTTCCGGCTCGCACTGCCGCGCAAGTCCAAGCTGCGCGACCACCGCGAGATCAGAGACGACGAAGGTTTCCTGGTGCGGCACTTTGCCGGCGCTGTGTGCTACCAGACGGTGAGAATCGGGCGGGGGACGGCAGCCTGGGCCGGTCAGAGTGGGTAGGATGGATCGGGGTGGGCGGAGCTTTATATATCATGGAATATCCTGGTCTGTATAATGCCTAACCAATCGAATTGAAACGTCGTCTAACGGATTATTGCGTTTCATGATTTGTGTCTGTTTTATACTGTATACACATCGCAATGTGTGTTCTAGAATAATGCTGCTTAAATTTCAGGAACTTAGTCACGCAGTGGGAAGTTGAAAGCTGCGCTCCTGCCTGTTCCGATGAATATCATCATATTTTGTTCTCTAGGTAATGCGCCCTTAGGATAAGTTTGTGTTTATGCTTTGTTTTCTTCAGGACAAGTTCCTGGAAAAGAACAACGACGCACTGCACGGTTCGCTGGAGGGCCTGATCCACGAGTCTCGCAACGCCTTCCTGCAGGGTCTGTTCGCCAGCCAGGCCGCCACCAACGGGTCAGTGAATAGGTAGTCAGCAGGGTGTGATTCACACCCCTTTGCGCCCTTCTATGTTCAATGCGCTCTGTAAAAATGCGGTTGTTCCCGTTGGACAAATAACTCTGATGTGATAAAACGGCAATGGTAAGGTAGTAATTCAACGTTTGATGGATTTTGTAAGGGTGGTGTGCTAGTCTGGACCCGTGATATATTTTGCTCAACTCTGAAATACCTTAACTTTTTAAATTTCAATCTAGCCCATCAGCGAACACTATTCTGACTCGCGCCACCGCCTATGTACCCTGAACAGGAAGGCGCCCGCCCGCGGTAAGCTGGCGCTCGGATCCGTGGGCTCCAAGTTCAAGCAGCAGCTTTCCGACCTCATGGACAAGCTCAACTCGACGGTGAGTATATGAGGGGGCAGCCGTCACTCGCGTTCTGCTCAGTGGAGATCTTATGTGTACAAACTGCGGCCGGCAAGTTGCAATAGATGGTGTGATGGTGCGATATGCTTGTAGCTTGGGATTATCCAATCCGTAGGCATCCAGCTGCTCAATCGGCAAGGAATTGCGCGATTAAGGAGGTTAGCAAGTTTTGCACACAGATCGACTGCTGTGAGCTGTCTCCTTACATGGATTGCTCGTGGTTCGCATTATGTAATTAATATTTATGCAGATTGCACTCATTTATATGAGAACTTTTATACAATATACATGTTACTTTTATATCCGAACACTTATTCATGAAGGTAACCTAGTTAATGATCGCATACTTGTTTCTGTCTAATTTATTCGCCGGTAGCAGCTGCAAGTGCGTTCAACCGTCCACCGTTTCCCCTGCAGGGTACCAACTTCATCCGGTGCATCAAGCCGAACCCGAAGATGGTGGACCGTCTGTTCGAGGGCGGTCAGATCCTCTCGCAGCTGCAGTGCTCCGGAATGACCACGGTACTGCAGTTGATGCAGCAAGGCTACCCGAGCCGTGCGCCCTTCAACGAGCTCTACGCCATGTACAAAAAGTACCTGCCCAAGGAGCTGGCGCGACTCGACCCGCGCCTCTTCTGCAAGGTAAGGGTGGTGCAGTGGCCGACGGGCTGGGGTGTGTTAGAATAGCGGAGGCTTGGTGTGGCAACTTGTAACGTTATTTATTGGTTCAGCGCCGGGTACTCGTCATTGCGTTTACATGGTTTTTCAACCTGTGCAGCTGCTGATATTTATTCTATTTCTTACAATGTTTTTTTTCTAGAGCTTTGCAGACGGTGGTCTTGATAATCTTTATCAATCCGCAAGTACCAGTGCATGTAGTAGATTGTGTAGTGATACGAACGGTGCTGCTACACATAAGCTGTTCCCGCTCCCTCCGACTGATTTATGTTCATTCGTTCCACAGCTGCTGCTGCGAGCGCTGGGTCTGAACGAGCACGACTTCAAGTTCGGCATGACCAAGCTGTTCTTCCGTCCAGGCAAGTTCGCCGAGTTCGATCAGATCATGAAGTCGGATCCGGAGAACCTGGCCGCTCTTGTGGCGCGCGTGCGCAAGTGGCTGGTGGTCTCCCGCTGGAAGAAGGCGATATGGTGCGCGTACTCTGTCATCAAACTGCGCAACAAGATCCTGTACCGCCGCGAGAACCTGGTGCTGCTGCAGAGTCAGACCCGCGGCTACCTGGCCAGGAAGCACTACCGCCACCGCTACCTGGCAGTCATGAAGGTAACTATAACCGAACACTATAGGACACTATGACCGGGCTGTGGTACGGGAGGGGGGAGTGGGGGGGGGGGGCTCGTGTAAACGGATGGGGTTAGCGCGAGACACTTGTAAGTTTTTTCCTGTACCGATGGGTACAGCTGTGCTGATGGGTACAGGGTGTAGTACCTATCTGTGTTAATTGGGTCCTTCTACGTTAACCGAAATTCGTGTGGTGATTATTTCCCGTCTCTAGAGAACATAGAGGAATGGCTGAGTGCCGTTATGACATGATCATTTGGCCAAAAATGAGACGTTTTCTTCTTCATTGATGCTCCGACCACAGTCTGCTCTGCGTTCTGTTCCCCGTCTCCCATCAACCACTGTCTCGGTAAACGAACCCGCTGGCCCCCAACTACATACAGGGTGTCTCAAAAGTTCGTTCACACATTTCCCATGCCAATAAAGCATATAAGAACCGGCCAAAAGTATAAGGTTTTGGTGTCTGTGTGTACACCAGACAAATATGCATGCTTTGACAACTGATTAAGAAGGTTGGAAACCAACCCCTTTGCTGTATCTCCAAAAATATTTGCTCATACCGATTTTTGTTGCTCCGTCAGCTGCCGGAGGCTGATAAAAGGTTACCAGCTTTCAAGCTCTTGCAGGGGAATCCCCTGCAGTTTCTGCGTCGGATTTAGTTTTGACTAGCTCCCCGGCAACATCTGATTTTCCCTGAAAGCCGACAGCTTGCATCGACACCATTCTTGAGTATTTTGTAGGCATTCTCTGGCGCTAACTCCTTCATGAATGACTGGCGCCGACATCCCAAGCGCCATTTTCCTTTTCAAAACGACCCCAGTCCTGAACAAACGGGAAGTGCCAGGAGTAAATTTTTCGCATCATATGGTAGCAGAATGTGTCGGACGTCTGTTTCTCAGACACATTGTGCAAATTTTGCAAATTCCAAGCGCTCGTCATTCCCCATGCCAAGACCTTCGCTCGGTTGCGGAGTGTTTTCCTCGGGAGATGTTCTGCTTTGTAAACGGCCCAAACCAGTCCATCGTGTGGTTTTATCGGGATTTTATGTTTAAAAGAAAATTATTCGCTGCAGATCTCCCTCTTGAAACTTCGTTAGATAAAATTTTACAATAACTGACACTTTTGGAGGGTCAGGTGTCCTTGGCATTGACGATTTTTGTGTTATTGTCCCCAAAAATTAGCGTTATAGATATTATAAACAATTTTAAATTATAATTTGTCTTTATTTTACGATGACCTGCACTTTTTGAAAATGGGTAACCTCTGTCTGTGACCTTCTTGCCAGTTTTCAATAGTTATGACCGCATTTTCAGCTGCTTTCCGGAACACGAGTCTGCTGTCGTGCGAGGGTCGTTCAAAACGCCGTTAGTCTCGCATGGTTTCGTCCTTCAAAAATTTTAGCCACCGTTTTTATGAGATGATCATCATGCTGCACTCATCCTCGCCGACACTTAGCCATGTGTCATTTCCGACTTAACCATTCCCATTACTCCTGAAACAGAGAGTTTCACAACATACCCGACTTTGCAACCTACATTTTCGTGCCTGACCCATGGTCAGAGGTGAACCCTTCTTGTGAGCTCATGAAGGGTCGAATGCACTTGAAAACAATGAGACTGCTTGAGGAAGGTTGTCACCAATGCCCATGCAAAATTTCGACTGTTAATTTCTTGTTGATTCAGAATTATTGACAAAAAAGCATGGCTGGTACCTGTGAACGAACTTTTGAGACACCCTGTACGTACTACCGGTACCCCTCGTCGCCCCCTTCCGGGGCCTCATACTACAACTAACTGTTGTTGTTGTTGTTGTTCTCCCCGGGTCGGCTCACGGCCGACCGTAGCCCAACGGCTCTTGGTGACTGAGGTAGCCGCGGCTCAAGGCCGCCACGGCCCCGCCGTCCCGAAGCTGCGTAGGGTCCGGTCTAATATTGCCGAGTAGGCGGAGCCTCGCGCCAGCCAAGCACGGGCACCTCAGCAGTACGTGCTCTGGCGTGTCCGGGCCCTCGCGACACACCAGGCAGCGCGCCGCCGGGCAGGCCAGGTCGCTGCACTGTGGGCAGTCGCGCTTGGGGCGGCGTCCGATTCTGTGCAGCTAACTCGGTTTACAACTAACACAACTAACTCGGTTCGCCGCGTCCGCGCCCGCAGGTGAAGGGCCTGCAGTCGACGCTGACGCAGATGGCCGACATGGTTTCCAAGATGAAGAAGGACCGCGAGGCATCGGCCAAGCACGTGCAGCAACTGCAGGTCTCCTTCGAGACGGTGGTGAAGAAAATCCGCTCCAAGCCGCTCACACAGCCGCAGGTGAGCCGCCGTCCGACGGGGCAGGGCGTGGGAAACAGGCCCAACGGCGCAACTTCGGACCGATCTGATGAAATATGCAGCTTGAATGTCGTGTTGCGCTTTGTTTTTGGCTAATTTCAGTGGTTGCAGCCAGTCTCAGTTAGCACTGGAACTACGGAATTAATGTCCACTTACAAATCCTTCCAGTGCCTATCCATGGTTGCTTTCAAGGCATTTGGGGATGATGCTTTTATAAAACATTGTGCTAGGCAATGCCGATCCTCAGCGGCTCTCACTCTCGGGTGATCGCTTAATTGAGTGAATTTTCTCGCTACATTGCCAGCAAATTCCCATGGGTGTTCGCCTTAATAATTTCTTCTGGTGCGAGACTCGAGTTGTCTAGCAAATACTGAGACGTAACTCAGCTGTGAGGATAATGACCATTCATTCACAAAATTATTAAGTTCACACCGTTCCGTGCTTCTATCCTCAGGATACTGAAGTCCTTCTCCTCCACGCCGCAACCCCCCTCCGGACTGGACAGGCAACTTTATCTCATGCGGGCTGCTCCCTTGGAGCGGCACCGCTGCTCCCGAGGGAGCGCACCCCGTAGCCGGGTGCAGTGAGTGCCTTGGGGCTGGGTGGCCTGTCCTCTGGACGGGCTCAGCCCCGGCGACTCACTAGAGTGCCTGCCCAGACCAATGTCTCCACCTATATCCTATTATCCTCCCGGCTCTGAAATGGTCCCATTGGACTGAAAGGGCCTAACCCAACAAAACAAAAACATTAACCCAACAAAAAAAAATTATTAAGTTTGTTGTTCGATATCCGCCGATAAGCTGAGCCGCTCGCCGATAAGCCTTCTCTGTTACTGATTTACTATAAATTTGTGGCTAAGAAACGGAATTCGCAACTGAAATAAAATATCTGGTAAGATGTTTGAAGCTCCTGAATAGTGTTAAATGTCAACTACCACTACTATCTCAGTTCGAAGCCCCAATAAAATATTTCTTTTAAAATAAATTGAATATGCAGGGTCTTCCCCATTTTCAGTTCTCCACACTGGCGCTCTACTCAGTCATTCCGCCCTCACGTCTGAATATTGCAGAGTGCGGATGCTTCGTAAACTAACTATGTGGAAGTTATCTCAAATGAGACGGAACGGCGAGAATAATCGCATTCGTTGGAAGGTCGATGTCTGCACCAAACTCATTAGGGATGCCTAATGATCGTGTGATTTAGGATATACGTACGTCAGACGCTGCTTCAAACTATGACACGGAATGGAATTAAAATATATCCAAGACAGACAGACCCTAGTTTATGTTGGCTCTGTTTCAATTGCGTCGTACCGTCAGTTGTGCTTACCCATCGCATTGTGTATGGAGGAGCCTCGAGTTAGCCGCAAGGTTTACCAGCATCCTGTCAGGGATATTTCTAGCCCTCAACTTTTACCATAGCATGTTAAAGCGAAACATTTTTTTTCGTCGTCCCACCTGCAATGAGCACGTGACCAGGAATACCCTGTGATTTGAGTTAGTGAATAATTGTCTGAACGTGGGCACTAGAGTCTAAAGAGAGGTCTGAACATTCTTGTGAATGGTCGGTTTTCTGGTACTTGTTTATTGTCTTCGTTTATAATTTTCGACATTTGCCTTGAATTTGTCATCAAGAAACAATGATAAAGATCTCGCTTGGTAGAAGCCGTTTTGCTATTGTGACTTTTTTCATAAAAAAGCGTGGTGCCATAAGTTTCTTTAAGTGCGGCCGGAGAAAAACGAGATTGAGTCACGCATGACGAGATTGAGAACTTGGGACTGGTACAGATCTAACTGATGGCCCGACTGCAAGCGGGAAGTGTGCATTAAACACCTTTTTCGATATTAATTTGAATTTCCCCCATCGCTAGACGTCCGTTGTTTTATAAGAATATGTACCCATCGACCCCAGGCCGGCTGGAGGCCCAGAAGACCGCCGACTCCAAATACGGCAGATACTTTAGCCAGACTCGGACGGCAGCTACACCTTTTGCAGTAGTTACATAACCACCGCCCCGCGCTAAACTCTGATTTAGCTCCAAACTACCTCCAGGTGTAAAGTCCTCCATCCTGCTCGAGCTTTCATCAGCGTTCCGGCGGCCGAACTATCCTCACCCCGAAGATATATCTCCGCCCATAGCAACTTCTTCCGCCCCGTCCGCTCCGCTTCAAGGTGGCAATATGGCATCTCCCAGTCACCTATTTTACTTATGCCCAGTTTACTTTCGATTGTGGAGTGCGCTGCCTAGCTTCTCCTGTATCCGAGTGTTGAGTGCCTAGCACCTAATCACTCCCCTTTCTGACCTATGATTGCCTAGCACTTCTCTCAGGCCGCAGAATGACTGTGTTCTCCCCTCTCCGACCTTTGCGCTGAGTTTTAGCATCCCTTATCTTCGACCACGAGTGGTCTGACCCCTCCTTTCTCAGACACTTTATTTTGTGTTGCTTCTCCCCATCTCCGACCACTATTTGTCTTGCTCTTCCCTCTCCAACCACTGCTTGTCTGACTGACCCTCCGTCGTCCTCCCCCGCAGGTGGAGAAGGAGGTGGCCGAGCTGACTGCCACGCTGCAGCGCGAGTTCGCCTCGCTCAAGGCCAAGCTGGAGCAGCAGAAGATCGCTGAGGAGAAGGAGCGGCTGCGCCGGATTCAGGAAGAGATGGACAGAGAGCGGCGCAGGCGGGAGGAAGAGGAGCGGCGGCGCCGCGAGGAGGAAGAGCAGCGCAGACAGCGGCTGGAGATCGAGGCGCGCAGAAAGGAGGAGGAAGAGCTGCGCCGCAAAAAGGAGGAGCAGGAGCGGATCCAGGAGGCGGCCCTGCGCAAAAAGAGGGAGGAGGAGGAGAGGGTGAGAGAATTGGGAGGGGAAGGGTGGGTGGAAGAACTGGGAGGGTGAAGGGAGTTTAAGGTGATATGAAAGGGTTAAGGACGGGTGGTAGGACCGGAAGTGTAAAGGGCGGGTCAGATGACCATGAGGATGCAGGTGCAGCATTGAAGGATGGAGGATCGCACTGAATGATACACCGCAAATTCGCTGACCGCTCACCACTAATGCCTCAGAGTCCGCTTCGCCTAGCCTGTCAAGTGTTCAGCGCTCCGTGATGTTTCCGCTGACCGGTGCTCTCGGCGTCCATATAGCGTGCCGCCGGCCGGTACCGACCGCGATTTGTGGCTGACCGTGCTGTGTTTGACTCACCAGGAGATGAAGAAACTCCAGGAGCAACAGGAGCAGGAAAAGCGGGATTACGAGCTGGCCGTCCGACTGGCAGACGAGTCCAAAACGGGCGGCGTGGAGGAGGTCCAGCCTCTCAAACGGTGAGTTCTTTTCACCAGTATTTTCTGATGGATTCGGCTACGCTTTTGTCGCTGGCTTTCTCGTATGTTTGGTTGTCTGAGTTTTGAACGGTGGGAACTGGGAAGGAACAAGACTTCCTTCCTGCACCTCTAAAAGGGCTGCGGATTTAGTGCACGGTTGGAAGTTGCAATAGTCAGCATTAGGTTAGACCCTCCGCCCGGTCCTTATCATACACCTTCCGTTCGGGAAAATCCGCTGTATCTGGGGAGATTTCAAAAGCCCAAAGTTCAGCGTGGCCATGTAGCCGGTCGCGGCTGCCCGTGCAGCTGATATGCCATCTGAGCGCGGCCGCTCTCAGCGCTGGGAGTTTCGTGGCCTGTCCCGAACCCAGGCCGCTGCCGTCGGCGTGCCCAATTCTTGGCAAAATATAAAGCGGATCAGAATGTTCATAGCGAATATTTTATTTTTAGGAGCATTGGATCCGTGCGTTTCCTTGTGCTTATCGTGCTATGTAATTTGAACGTTTTCACTGGACTACTCTTTACTTCTGTCGTGATTCAGCGAATTCCCAGAGGCAACTAGACAACTAGCTCACCTAAACCTGCTCCTTTCCATTCTCCTACAAAGTCTTCATTCTTCATCGCACCATTTATCGTCGCACACCTTGTACAGGTCTCGCGGGTTTTAGCGGTAGGTTTTGCACCTAGAAAGTTTAGCGTACTTCAGGCTATATCTTCGTCGTCTTAAGCTTTTAAGTGTTGAAGATGCGATCGACTTGTTGGGTAACAAGCCGGCCATCATCGTGTAAAATTGCTTCATGGTAGATCGATTGGTTTCTGAGATATAACCGGAAATGTAAAAGTGCAAAACCTACCGCTTAATCTCGCGAAACCTGTACATCTCTGGGTGGCCGTAGCACTCCGCTGTGCGGCAGCCGGTCGAGTCGCGGCCGGCCCCTCTGTCACGTCACCAGGGGTCCACTCCAATTAGCGCCGGCTGCCCGATTGCCGGATGTTTGCCGGCGGCTGTGGGGAGCGGTCGCAATAACGACATGAGCAGCGGCCGCGGCGGCTCGTTATGATTTCCGCGACACATATCACACACGGTGTTCGACGAACAGATCACGATGGTACCGGGGCAAATATGGGACAGCAGCCGCGGCTCCGGTGCCGCTAGCGCAAATATGTGGCCGCTACGGGCGGAAACGGGGAGGGGAACAGGTGAATGGACACCGGGCCGAGAGGAGTGTCTGCCTCTGAAGGAGACACATTGAGAAAACTGTTCACAAGCTGGAGTCAATGAGTACGAAATGTGATATCTGGAGTTGCTTTGATAGCAAGGGTCCGGCTTAATCGCGATTGCACACCACTTCACATATGATGTGATGGGCCACTCGCCGGTTGGAGCGGGCAGGCCTTGAGAAGGCGCGCTATCAAAGTGCCGGATCGGTACGATATCACCTGATTCGGTGACAGTGACTCGTGTGTCTCAGTTTGGGGACGGTGCAGACTCCGAGGAGCGCGGTGTCGGCGGCGCGGTGGACCGGTGGCTGTTGGTGTCCAGTTTCCACCCGGTGCTAATATGGCGCATACAGGACCCGAGGCTCCGTCGGCGCCGCCGTACGAGGACGTGCCCACCGGGCCGCCGCCGCCATACACGGCCGGCGGCGTGGACCCGCGGGACTACCCGTCGATTCTGGAGCGGCTGCAGCGTGACCTGGTGGCGCTACAGGAGAAGATGGACGAACTGCAGCTGGAGAGGGCTGCTGGTGATCACTCGGCCAAACAGCAGGAGCTGCAGAGGCTCCGCAAAGAACAGGAGATGAATATACTTCAGGAGCAAGAGGAGCTGCATAGACTCCAGAAGCAGCAAGAGCAGGAGAGGCGGGATTACGAGCTGGCCGTCCGACTGGCAGACGAGTCCAAAACGGGCGGCGTGGAGGAGGCCCTGCTACCCCAACGGTGAGTGAGAAGTTCTGGCTGCTCGGCCTTTGTGCCTGATTTGGGTACGTTTTATCGTTAGGTATGTCTTGGGATGCACCAAGAGTCCAAGACCTTCACCCGACACTACACAAATGCTTTCAGTGACGAGTATCTTCAGCACCACGATTTCAATTATTTGCATTGCACGGATGGAGGATGCCAGAACTACCATAAAGCAGAGCGCTAAGCAGAATTATAAAAAAGCTGCAACGCGAGGAGTACATGCGTACATCAATAAACCGTATCTCTCTCTCTCTCTCTGCGGTACTGGAGTAGGAGCCGCGGGACTGCAGACAGATCCTGGAAGAGTGGAAGACTCCTGGAATGTTGCAAATTCTTCCCGAAGATGTCGGAACTAGCCTGCACCCAGGTTGTTCTTCTCACAAAAAAGTTGTTTTTCTCACCATTTCGTAAACCGGCTCGGGCTTTGACGTATTTCGTTACTGATGTTTTCCCCGTTTGAGGCTTTCTGAATTCTCTGGATTTTACATCACTGGCCTGGTGCCTGGGAATGGCAACTCTGATCGATCTCTCAAGACTGTTGCTATCGGTGTTGACATAGCGTTTGACGGGGGTCTTTTCTCGTGTGTTTATCATTGCGATGTGCGTTACGGTCGAGTGTTTGAATAAGAAGACAAGGGATATGGGGAAGTCCTTTGTAGCGTTTTTATACGTGTGTTTAGCAAATAGCGACCCAATCTTCGCTCCGTGAAGACGTCAGTTTGGAGGTACTTGAGCTTGGGGACAGTTTGGAGTGAACACGTCCGGACGACTTCTCATAGCTGCTTCAAACAAATACTGAGCCTTGTGAACCGTCCCACGGCCGTCGAGAAAAAGTTTAAAAAGACTCCGAGGATACTCCCGCATATCATGTTTCTTACTCTACTAAATACAGTACTAGCTTAGCTTTATGCTAATTCCGAGTCTGCCAAAACATTCGCAGCCACTTTGCATAATGCTACTACCTACTGGTATTGCCATTGGTATTGCCATTGCCATTGTTCTTTCAATAAATTTGTTATCGAATAAGTGACATCGAATAGCATCCGTTCTCACCCATTGACTCTGTCTTATACCTACGCTTATGACAGTAGGTACTCGTATGCTAAGAACTACGGGTTCGTTTGTTATGGGTCTCCTTCAAGCGACGGCAGTCTGCTCCTCTACCAATGTATCGTCATTGAGCAATAGAAGCATCCACCCACTTCATCCCACGCAATGTAGGTATATTTAGGCTTGTACATCAATAAACTCCGCTTTGGTCGGACTTTTTAATTGCGTCATCGTCAACATCAGCCCGCTAGATTTGGGTTTTCTTTCGGCCGTCATAGGTTGATTTCTGATCGTATCGAACCATTTTTTATATTCTGGAGGCCTGCGAGTATTCCAGTCTGAGTGAAACGATCGCATCAATCCAGCATTGCTTAAGCTGATGCTTAGAGTATAACTATCGTCTGTGCCCTTCAACCGCGAGTGATTAATGCATATTGTTGATGCTTTAATTAAGAGCCGAATCATCATATTCCGGTTGAATTAGCAACCGATAATCCTCAAGTTTTGTTCATATTTCATGCACTGTATGGTTCGATCATTGTATTCATAGAGCTCAGCTCGCATTTTGACCGGCGATCCCCCGCCGCTTTCCCCGTGTCTCCCGCTCACCTTGCCACATGACCCATTGACCCCGTCCGTCTAACCCGGCTTTATGCTCCTCCGTCAGATCACCGCTGGTGGCTCAGCAGCAGGCCGAGGCGGCCAACAAGAAGTACGACCTCTCCAAGTGGAAGTACTCGGAGCTGCGTGACACCATCAACACCAGCTGTGATATCGACCTGCTGGAGGTGAGATGTTAGACCTTCACCGCCCACTGAGGGGAAGGGAGGAGGTGAGGTGCAGCGGTATGTAAGACACAGAATGTTCGGTGTCTGGCGAGATAGCCAGACCTTCACTGTCCGCAGAGGGGGTGGGGGAAGACGCGGTATGTAACATACGGAACCCTTTAGACGTGATTGTGATGTACTCTTAGTTCTGCCACGCCACATCTCTTCTCGCTCCCTTCTCGCTCTTCCGATCGTAGGACAAACCCTCCGCTTCCCGTCGCCCCGCCGGCCACTCAACCATCTCCCCCTCACCCCGCCAGGCCTGTCGTGTCGAGTTTCACCGGCGCCTCAAGGTGTACCACGCCTGGAAGGCCAACAGCAAGAAGCGCACTACCGACATGGACGAGACGCAGCGTGCGCCGAGCTCCGTGCTGGAGGCAGCCGCCGCCGGCCGGCCGGCGCCCGCCGCCGCCGCGCCCGCCAGCGGGCCGCCGCAACCGCAGCACCGCTTCTTCCGAATCCCGTTTGTGCGGCCGGGCCAGCAGAAGGAGAACCAGGCGCGCGGCTGGTGGTACGCCCACTTTGACGGCCAGTGGATCGCCCGCCAGATGGAGCTGCACCCGGACAAGCCGTGCGTGCTGCTGCGAGCAGGTGAGACAGCGAAGGGAGGATGGGAGCTGGGGCACACTTTGGGGAGGAAGGGCTCTGAAAGCGAAGATGAGGGCATGACTGACGAGGAGAGGAGGCAACTGGAAGAATGTGAGAAGGGCGGGACAAGAGCGGATGGATTATAAAAATAAGTATAAAGAATAACAGAAAAAGACATATATATAAATGACTAAACAACGAAACATATCTCTGTGTACTTTCCTTTGCTTATTTTGAGCATTCACCGTATGTACTCGCAGTCGGAAAGTTTTCACACCAGACTCCGAACTCAAAACCAAAAGTTCGGTCTGTCCCGCTGCACCGTTGTCCAGTTGATAGTCTCTCGCTAATGCCTCCGAACGACCGTTTCAATCTCCGCCTGGTTGCCTTTTTGGGACGGATGATCGTGCAGTTGGGCCCTTCCGAATGAGTTTGTACCCTCAGACCCCATGTTTAACATGCCAAAAAAATATGGAAGTGGTAATGGCGGCTTCTTAAGGGCGGCACTTGGTGCTGAATTATGAATAATAAAGTTATTTAATTACAGAATGTTTTCATGGATGAATTAACGCATCCCGAGCCGCGATAATCGGAGTTTGTTGCCACTTGGTAACCTCTACCGGCTGCTTCAGAGATGCTTGGTTGTCTTCAAAGTTAAGGATTAAACTTCTGCCTGCTCTTACAGGCAGACACGGCCCATTCCACTGACTGACTTTACCTGGCTGCACTCATTCCCACCAACAGCGGGATACGAATAGTGTTTGTCTATTTCAAACAACCTGCGGTTATCGACAGGGGTGGTCGCAGTGGCGTTGGGGGGGAGGGGGCAACTTGACAAAGGGGCCCTGCGCTGACCGGGGGGGGGGGGCGGTGCTAGCTTAACCCGCGCCCAGCTGGGGGTCCTGGATTTCCACGCCCTGCTGGGGGGGGGGGGGGTGTTTGAACACCCCCCCCCCCCTTGTAACTCGGCTCCTGGACCACGTAGCGATACGCGGAAGGCGGCGTTCGAAAGAGCGTAAAAAATAATGACGAAATCATTTCGGTCAATTTTTTGGTCAGGTCAAAGGTCAGGTCACCAGAGGTCATTGAAGGCAAAATTTCGCCGATTTCCAGGTCGAATGTCGAAAATTTCCAAGAAGCCAACGCATAACTCGGGAACCAATAGAGCTACAGCGCCGCGGAAAAGCGCATTCGATAGCCCTGTTAACGCCCTTTCTGAGTAATTCTCTCAGATTTGACCTAACGTCAACGGTTTTGCCTGCAGGGGGCAAAAACTGCAAAAATAGCCGATTTTTTCGGAAACAGTTTTTCTGCAATAACTTTTGACCCAAGCCTTGTACGAGCTTACTTTCACCGGCATCGTGTTCCTCTCGTCAAGACGCATCGAATGAACTATAACTTGACCTTGAAAGGTCAACTTGAAAATTTGACCTCAGGTCAAGGTCATGACCTGACCGGAAAGGGTCATGTTGCATATCAGTCGATCCGTATCGTCGAGCTGAACACATATAAGGCGTTTTCATCGCTCTAGCATGCCTCTATCAAAAGTTATTTGCGATAAACTGTTAGATGCCATTCGTGACCTAAGATGACCTCAGGGCATAAACAAGGGTCACGGACACCATTTTCATGTTCAGTGTGTATAAACCACTTGTAATTCGGTGTTTGGGAGTGTTTATAATGTCTTTCGTCCAAAAGAGGCGCATTTCAATTTTCTCCCATTGACTTATAATGGGGAGGTCGCAAAATTGACCTGACCTTAGGTCATCGATATCAAAATTCTGAGATATACATTTTGTACATGCTATTGCTCTTAGCAATCGCTGAAAGTTTCAAAGTGATCGGTCACTTGGTGTAGCTATGACAGACATTAAAACTTTTTATGAGGTGAGGTCACTTCAAGTGACCTGGTGACCTGACCTTGAATGACCTTGGTCTGAAATTTTCACAACATGTGTAGAATTAATGTATGATAAGGTGTACCAAAAACGGCGGCGCTCCGCGCCGCCGTTTTTGAGATATTCGCGAAAAAACCACAAGGGGGGGGGGGTGTTCAAACACCCCCCCCCCCCCAGCAGGGCGCGGGTTAAAGGGGCCCATGGGCGTAGGAACGACTGGAACATTGTGGGTGCATGGGTGCAGAAATCCAACCATGTCCGGTCAAGCGGGGGGGGGGGGGGAGTAGAATCCGGTGCGGGGCCCTCAGAGGCCCATGTGGATCCTTAGGCCAGCATGGGGCCCTAAGAGGTCACTGTGGGGCCCTAAAAGACCTGCATGGGCCGGCGTTGGACCCCAGAGACCAGCGAAGGACCCTCAAAGGCCAAGATGGGCCCTTAGAGGCCGATGCAGGTCCTTAGAGGCCGGCACCGGGTCTTCAGAATCCATTGCGGAGCCCTCAGAGGCACTTAAAGGCTAGTCTTGTGACCTGAGAGACAGAAATGAGGCCACCAGAGGCCGGTGTGAGGCCCTCAGACGCCGGTTGGGCCCCTGAGGCCGGTTTAGGGCCCTCAAAGGCCAGTGGAGGGCCCTCAGCGGTCAATGTGGGTGCTTGACCGCCACTGAAGGGCCCTCAGAGGTCAGTGTATATACTCGTAGGACCCTCAAAGACCGGTATGGGAGCTGTTAATAGCTGGCGTGGGTTTCTTGAGCCTCGTGACAATCGAATAAGGGCCAAGGCCCCATACGCCCATGGGGACCCCCATACGCCCATGGGGACCCCCATACGCCCATGCCTCCCCCCCCCCCCTGTGACCGCCACTGGTTGTCGATGTATCGTATCGATGTATCGAGGATGTATCGAGCGGAGGATTGACTCGAAGCACGGCTCTCGCAACCTGATGCTAGGTCTCTGCCAGCTGAGCTGCAAGACGGCATCCGAGAAAAAGTTTCCTTTGCTTGCGTATTTACAATCTTAAAGACGTTTTGGCGGCTACAGCGGTAATCTTAACTTTAGCTACCCGTGGTCCCCGTAAGGCATCATTTTTGGGCCTTCGTATTAATTTGTGCGCTTCTTAGTTTTTTATGTGCGCATTTTTGCTTCAATCGTGGACTTTGGCCAGCTACTATTTTTAAGCTGCAATATCTGGCCTGGTAGCAGTTATGAAATCATAGTCGTGGGCTGGTATCAGACGTAAGCTAAACCCTAAACATATGGTATGGACTAAACGTCCCGGTTTCCGACGGGTCGAACGAGGTACTTGTCACCTGTGACCTGCCCGCTGTACGATTTTGTACAATTTTCTGCCCGCTATACACCTGTGACAGAAGACCGCTGTACGGTGACCGACGGCCGCACAGAGTCAGACCCCCCCCCCCCCCCCACTCCCTCCGACGCCCACGATGTGGCCCACTGCCGGCCGGCCGCGCTGAGACGATGGCTGGGCCGTGGCCGGTCAATCTCGATGCAGCCAATAAGCGCGCCTCAGATCGGCTGGTGGGCGTCTCATATACGGGCGGCGAGCCGCCGCGTCCCGGCCTCGATAGGTGCTCGGGCTCCTATTGGAAGGAGAGGGTGTATCGTTCATTGATGATCGCTCAGTTCATTCGTTCATCATTCAAAGGCTTGTCTGCCCATTCATCGATCGGACTAGATTGGCTCAGATAGCGTGCTGTCAGGCAAATTGCGCGGGCTCGCAGCCGTTGAGGAGTATCAATGGGATTCCCCCTGAATATTGTCGCACGAGGTTTTTGCGTTGCCATCGCTTAACCCTCGCCGGCCGAGGGGGGGGGGGGGGGCGGGTGCCGCCCCCCCCATAGGTTTTTTCGCGATAGCTCCAAACACGCTGGCGATAGAGAGCTGAAACTTGGCATACCTGACCTTTGATCCAAGCCGCATCTTTTGACACCAACCGCATTTTTGGGTCAGGTCAGGTCACTGACCTATGACGTCATAAGTGAACCTCTGCACGGTCTTCAGATGTCGCAACTTCGCAACGCCCTCACTGCCAGAGGAGATGTCACAGGGAATGAAACTTGCAGGATCTAGTATCCATTATGAGTCTCACAACTTGTATATCTCGGATTTTTCCTAAAGGTCATATGAGGTCAGGTCATTTTCGTGACCTCACCATTATAAGTCAATGGGGAAAAATGAAAACTGCTATTCTGGCGCCGGGAACGATCTCCAACTATCTCAAGCACACAGAATCGTGATTTGATGCACTCCTTGCAAGGTTAGATGCGTCACTTTTGCAATGTTGACCTTGCGTGACGTCATTTATGACGTCATCAAGGTCATATTAGTTTTTCGTCAATAACTCCCGACCAAATTGAGCTAGCGAGTCAAGAAAGCCACCAATGGGCTCAGGAAGACATGCCGAATCGAATGATATGCGACATGACCTCTTTCGACCAACTTCGTGACCTGGGGGTGCTGACCTGACCTTGACCTGAGGTCAACACCCTAAGTTGACCTGACCCGAACAAAAAGTATATCATTCGACGCGCCTGAGCGAGGCGAACACGATGCTGCCAAAATCGCGGCTCTGCGGCCGTTTTTTGCGAAGTTATTCACCAAAAACTGAACCGTACCCGGGGGCACTTGACCTGACCTCAGAGGTCACCGATTGACCTAGGACCTTAAAATCGGGTACCAATCTCTGCGTCTCGTAACGGCGCACACGCTCGTTTTTTCCGCGACGCGCTAGCTCCACCAGGGGCGAAACGGCGAGGGGGGGGTCGTACCCGCCCCCCCCCCCCTCGGCCGGCGCGTATGTAGAAAACCAATAGGTCCGGCGAGGGTTAACGCATCAGCCTGCGTTCTTTTAGGGCTCATTCATCATCAATACTGTATCAGTGATTGTCTGGAACGGCTCACTCAATTGTCGCGCTTTTCGAAAAGCGCAAAATATTGGTAACATGGGAACGTAACCAGGGATCGACGGATGTGAATGGGATGGGCTTAGTTGTGTGCGTGTGTGGGGGGGGGGGAGGGAGGGGAGCGTCAGAAAATTACGTCAGTGGTCACTGCTCAGCAAACCGACGTAGGCCAGGGGCGTCCTGAGCATTGTGCGTACCAACGCTCCGGTATACGGAAATGCAGATGATGTAAACAGAATATTTAGTGTTCAGGCTAATTCTGGCAGCCGTATCATGTAGGTATCTTGTTCAGAATTAAGCAGCCAATTCAATAGCGTACATTTCATCGTGTCAGGCAATGGTGTACATTGTTTTCTGTTAGCTGTTTTCACACTTCCATTTCTCAATAGGATAAAGCTTCGTGGGAGGTCGGGATGCGTTCAATCGATACGTGCTGGGTTAGCTCAGTCCAGTAGGAGAACCGACGCTCTGTTCGGACTGACCAGCCCAATCACGACAACGATCGGTCATATCCACCCATTTTTAATAGTGTCCGAATAGCTGAGTGGGGCGAGTAATGGTCTCACCAGATGCGGTGTGGCCTTTCGCCAGCTGCTAACTGGCTTGGGATTGCTACGTGGGCTAAGTGGCGCGCTGATCTCCAGTCTCGAACTCTCACCTTTTGTTACATACTTTGGAGAAGGAACACTTTGTCCAACAGGTCACGCGGGGATACAAGTGTCCGTGCCGATAAGGTCTTCAAATGTTATCTGTACCTACTAGCGTTGCTATCAGGCTTTGATAGAATGTATCAATCCCATGCGATGAAGAGCCTTCTTTGGAGCCATAAGCTGTCAGAGAATTTTCGCTGATTGGTGATGAGTTTGGGTGGCGGTCATCGCGTATGTCGTTTGGTGCTCATTGCACAGCAGTTACGCTCCTTCCACAATAATATTGCGGTCGTGTGTTTGGTCTTCGCAGAAAGAAACGTCCTGAGGCGATGCTCTGCCTACAGTTGTTGTTACGACGGTTGACGTATTAGTTCGCTTAATTAACATCAACAAATTATGGCGCATCTTAATTAACATCAATAAACTATCAAACTTTGCATTTTATGGGATTCCAGCAAAAGTTTAAGCAGTCACATCCGTATATCTGACACCACATTCCTCTCCCTGCTGTTGCAGGCAAGGACAGCATGCAGATGTGCGAGCTGAGTCTGAACGAGACCGGCCTGACGCGCAAACGCGGCGCCGAGATTCTGGAGTCCGAGTTCGAGAAGGAGTGGAACAAGCACGAGGCGGCGAACGCCAAGTGAGCTCGACCGATACCGTCGGCAGCGGCGGGGTCGGTCGGCCGCCGCGCCGCAGCTGCGGCTGACCGCGGCTTCCGTCGGCTCTGTCACTGGTGGTCGTGGGATGCGCTGGATCCTGCCGGGCTGCGGGCTAGTTGGGCCACTACTGCAAGTGCTGATGTTTTGATCGAGCGGATCATTGTGCCTTCAGCCTACCGTGAGAGTTTTGCTTCCTCCGCGTATCACGCAAAGCTGGCTTTTCTGGCAGCCCCCGGAGTGTCGGCGCCCGGCGCGGTGCTCCCCCGCCCCCGCCCCCGCCCGGCGGTTGGCGGCCGGCGCTATCGCGGCATTTACGGCGTGCGGAAAGGCCGCGCTGCCGAGTGAGGCCGTAATTAGCACGTCCGGCACTGTTTGCTGCCAATCGTCCGTGTTTGCCGGTGGCCGGCGGCTAATCTGCGCGCCGGGACGCGGGCCGGGCTGCCCGCCGCCCACCGGCCGTGCCGCCGCCGGGTACGAGCCCCTCGGCCGGTCGGCACCGGGCACACCGGAACGCAGAGTGGTGACGGTAGTCGGCCTCATTGGAATGTTTCTTCCAAAAACGATTTAGGCAGTTGTATGTGGCGGAGTTCAGAAAGTGTTACTTCCGAGTTTTCCTAAGAAACTGTGAGCTTCCGTCAACTTCGACATCGGTAATGACAGCTAACAGTGATGTCACAGGCTAAACGTCTGTGGCATCACTTCACCGACTCGTCCTGGCTTCGGCCAGGTCACGGGACGGTGCCCGTGACGTCATAAATGACGTCACGGTCGCAGCTGCCCAGTATGTTTTGTACTTAAAGCGAGGCTCGGCAGGGATGCGTACGAGTCGCAGTGGAGTCTTTGGGCTGACCTTTTGGTAGTCTCTTCACCGATGGCATGCGTCTTTTGTGAGACGTAGGTAATGCAGCATTCCAGCTTGGTTATGAGTATATTTTCGATCAATCTAATTGCTTTATTTGCGATCAGCATATTATATGTATTCTATCCACTTTGAGTAAGTTGTTAATTGTTGTCAGATTGTGATTTAGGCATTTGATGTTCGTTATAATCCTTATGTTTCATATCATGGATGGAGTCGGCTTATGACAGTATTTTAAGTTTGAACGTTTCTATGTGACCTGCCTGTGAACAGTACGCACTTCTTCTGTTTGATTTCGTGTCGACTGTGCAGCGTTATCGTTGTGCTTTCCTGATCGACAGCGGTGGATGATGTAATGTGAACAGATTTCCAAATAAACATGGCGGCTATACAATGCACATTTTGGTGATTTTATGTGCCGTTCTACCTCGAGTTCCTAAGTCACGCGCTACGATAATCGAATCTCGGTAACATTGAAACAACACGTCATCACAAAAAAATTGGATCTTATATTTTCCCTCAGATCATTTTAAAACTTGCACCGTATTTACGCCCCTCCCCCGGAAGTTTTTTATCGCGGATATCGTTGTGTCGAACTTACACCACGGAAAAATACACCAGTGATTTCACCCTTTAATTGTGAGGTCATCTTAGGTCATGAAATGAAATATCAGCAAAGTTTTTCGATAGATTTTGATAGGCATGCTAAAGTAGAGTTATGATAACACCTTGGGTGCGATAGGTCAACAACAGTGCTCATCTGACATGCAGCATGGCACCTTCTCGCCATTGAGCCCAGGTCACGGTATGTGCGTACTGCGTACCTAATAACCTTGATATGCTACATTTTTGAAGCCATCGTCGAACTTCTGTCGCTCAACAGAATGCTGACTAGGCGAAACTTTTTTTAGCGTTTTAAATGAGGAATGCATCGAAATAATGATGAGTCTCTCCTGTTGTGTAAGAATAGCGTACCAAGGGCCCGGCGAGTTGCCGACTTTTTTAAAACAAAAAACTGTGGGAGCATTCCATTGCATCATTCCTGATTAATGAGTTACAACCAATGTTCCCTCGAATGCCAAGAGCTCCAGGGTGGTTGACGCATGTATCTGCACCGGATACCGTGCTCAGATTGAGGCAATTGTCGGGCACTAAATGCAACGACCCGGCTTTGATGGCCGCCAATCGGGAGGGCGGGCTCGGATCATGGTCGATGACTTGCGTCAGCGGCGCCACGCTCCGTTTGCATTTCGCATTCGCGGAACTGGGTACGGTCCTGGCCTGCGTTGCAGTTCCCCGGCCGGGTGCGGCGGTGACTGCAACGAGCGGCACGGCCGCTAACACCAACTCAGCACAAATCCGCCAACCAGCTAACGCCGCCAGCGCCGGCTGTCTGTCTGTACCTACATCAATGGACGATAAAACTGACACGCTCCATGTCGATCGGGAATACTACTATGTACATTTTTATTCGGTTGGTTTTGCTTAAAAAATTGAAATGCTTTATCATAAGCGATAGGCAGATGCGGCACTTAGCGCTTTTGAAAACTGAATAGAGAGACTAAACCTTATCACTCACAGCCGACCTCATCCTTTTTAGACTTGGTAGGCTTTAGAAAATAAATATTTTGAACTGTAACCGACCGTAAATATCCGAAACGATTTTCAATTTAAATAAATCTCGGCGGGTTTCTTCCCAACCAATGGGTGGGTACCTAATAATTGCAGATTCACAAGGTCACAAAATAAATTGTTGGGAACGGTGCTGAATTACAAACAGTACAAAATCACAAAAGTAAAATGACGAACAGTAGAAAAAAACATTTGAGCATAAAATAAGCAAAACAAAGCATAAAGACACAGCTAGGTTTGATCTAATATGCGGGAATTTATTGTAGAATTTAGTTCAGTGATGTTTAGAGAACCCAATTTGCCACACCAATTACCATTCCAACGATCCAATGCAATGCTGCACAGATAACATTGCGAGTGCGCACCCGTCGTCGGTGTCGGCGTCCGTCGGCGGCGGCGTCCGTCGGCCATATAAGCGCCGTCGGTGTGCGGCCGGTCAGTGGCGTTCGTCCCCGCTCGGTGTCATGAGCTGTCCACGACAGGTGCTGGGTGCGCTGTTCGCGCTGGCCGCCGCCGCCGCCGCCGGCCGGCTGCCGTCCACACTGCGGCTCGATCAGCTGGAGAGGACGCGGCTGAGCGAGCCGCGGCTGGGGCGCGTCCGGCTCGACGAGCCGCGGCTGGTGGCGCCGCAGCTGGAGGAGGCTGGCGTGCCGCTGGAGGAGGAGCCGGCGCTGTGGTCGGCCGAACCGACCAGGAGGGAGCAGGAGAGGGAGCTGGACGGAGCAGAGGACCGGCTGGAGCAGGACGGAGGCGAGGAGCGGCTCCGCCGGAACCGGCACCGGAAACGGAAGAGGCCGTCGGCCGAGCACCTGCTCTACCTGCGCAGCCGAGGTGCGGTCCGTGATATGTGGTGTCCAGTACGGCAGGGTCACGGGGTCTACTGTCCAGTAAACTAAAGGGTGGTCGTTGCTAATGGTGACCTACTATTTCTCTCAAATATCAATGAATGCTTCTTTTTTCCCACAGCATTTCTCCAATGCACCAGTCAACGATAATTCACCAGTTTTTATTTTATTTCTTGTTCCCTAGATTATCTCGTACCATTTGTCCTCTGGCTTTTTATCAGTGTATTCGATTCCTACGGACTACGGTGCGTGAAAGTCGCAACTTTTTCCAATATTTCATGCCATTAAATGGCAATCGTAGAGTAAGCAAGATGTCATACTCGCAGCCAAACTTCATTTTTCCCCTATGCCATGAAATGCAGCTTTGGTTTACATTATCCTCCCTCCTCCCGTTTCAAATCAGCTATGTCCCGTAACAAGCAAACATCGGATCGGGCATTTCATTTGTTTACTCTCCTTGACCTAACGGCATCATGATAGACGTATCACAGCTCTCAGTATCTAAGTCTCTCGTCTGACGCGGCCCCTGTCTCCTGCAGACTCGACGTGCCCTCGGTCGGCCAGTGGCGAGGAGCAGTTCTTCTGCGCCTCACACCACCCGAGCGGGGAGCGCGCCTGCGTGGGCATGGCGCGGCTCTGCGACGGCGTGCCCGACTGTCCCGAGGCTGAGGATGAGCTCGCCGTCGCCTGTCTCTTCTATAAAGCGGTGAGTGGTCGCCGGATCAGAGACCGACAGAAGATCGCTGTGCGGAGCTAACGGAATATTTCGCTTTCTAGCAATTTGAGAATAATTTTGGGCCGCAAGATAGACGTTGGTTAGTGGCCACTTGCTGTATTTGATTTGTTGAATAATACGAATCGAACAACTCTTATCATAGACGATGTTTAGGACTAAACACCGTATGCAAACTGCTTCCTCTTTGTTGCAATTTAATGGCGCTCTCGTTCTTCGTTGTGGCAAACTACAACCACCCATCGAATCCTTCCAACCCAGCCGGCAATCAGATGTGTACTAGACATCGCCTCTATCTGTTTCAGCTCTCCCACAACCTGGAGAAGATGACTGGGAAGGTTCTGCAATTGACGGCACACCACCGACACCGACTACGGTAGAAGACAGAGTTTCCACCAGACCACAGAAACGAAAAATCGGCGGGACGAAGTCCTGGTCCGGATGAAAGGGCAGCTCGGAGCGGGCTGTCCTAGAGCGTGCGCCAGATCACTGCACGTGGGCGACAACTCGCTGAATTGGAGCTCTATCCTCCGGATCAGGCGAACCGGACAGAGGGCGAGCTCCTGTAGTTTTCGCCCTGCGTCATCACGAACCAAAGGCTGCTTCACCATCCAATTAGATATGAGATATCTATAGGAAAAGAATAGCGAGCAAAAGCGATATATCGCGAGAGGTTATTCGAAAGCATTCTATGCATCGCGGTTGGCAACATTTTTATGCCAGTGCGTTCAGTTAGTCTATAGCATCGTTATTCTTTAATATATGTTTGACATCTCAACTCGGGCCGATAATCGGGCAGCTGGTAGTGTGTGCTCCCGTCTGTGTAACCAGGTCTCTGGGACAGTGTCAGTAGCCCCACCGGAAAGATATCACGTCCCTTCCGCCAAAACGATCTCCACTTGCGCATCTCATTGTGTGTCCTAGTTCTCATGACCGGCATGCTTCCTCTGTGGTATGGCTGCGATGACGTGAGCGCGCTGTTAATTTATTATAGTGCTGTGATCTGTCTGTGACAGTTGGATAAAGCCCAGCGCAGTTACTGCTGCAATATGGCTCTCGGTGTATGGCCGAAAATACCAGCTGCCTACCCTGGTGTAAATACTTTGTTACGAATGCACAGCGCTAACGCTGACAGCGAGTGTTATGTTTGGATGGTTTTGTAATGGTTTATGCAGCCGTGTTGCCTACTCAAAAGCATGAGCGTCGGCGTGGGTGATGAAGCGCCGTCTGCGTTGTCTTTGAATGAGCGATCACAATAGCGTGAATTAACAATATTAAATGTGTCATGCTGTTCGTGATGACGCCATCTGTAGGAATGCGACTGCGAACTAATACGGTAGCTGAGGAGTCGCGGAGGTTCCGACAGGGCATTCTGGAAGAGATCTGTTTGCGCAGAGATAACCGTGGATCGATCGATCGATCCGGATAGGATGGGCCGAAACACAGAGCCAGTGCATGCAGTGGAGAGGGCGTTGCTTTCAATATCTGTGAACGATGGGAGTCATCTTCATAATGTGGTGTGAATGCCGCGCAGACGCATGAAATACATTATTCACGTACGAACTACTATTGTTTGCAGTTTTGGTACAAACAGTGGCGCAAGTCCAGTTTATCCTTGAATCTCATCACTTTCAAGCTTAAATTCGCCGATATGTCGAATTAGCTTGATGCTAGGGTCATGAATGGCTCTCACGTATGATATGGCTGCAACGGATCCATTTCGGAGAAAGTTCACCACGTCACAAGTAATAACTATGCATTTGCTTTGATCATTTAACTTTTCATGAGGCATAGCACTAGGTTTTGTGACTAATTTCGTGACACTGCGATTAAATCAATTGAAAAAGCTCTTTTTCATGACATGTGATTCATTCAATCGCTTAGATAAAGATTAGGGCAGTCGGCAGTTCAACAAACACTAATACAGTTCATTGAAAAAGGTTCAATTTCAAGAATCTAAGAAGGCGGATTGTTAGAAAACTCTACCGTGGGCAAACGCAAAGCAAGTCTTTTCTAAATAACGGCTAATATGAAAAGCGAAAGAAGCGAGGCAGCCGGGCCTGTAAGACTTTCGAGATCTTCACAATCGTACAGCCATTTGGCAATGCTCTACGCCAGGTAACCCTGTTCCATCTACCCCTAATTTGACTATACATATAGCTAGAGCCATGTCTTTTTGTTGTCTTGACGCAGCTAAACTCGTAAGAGGCCGTCTAACGTATGGGGAGGGGGAAGGGTCCATTGGACCCCGTGCCGTTCGGCCCCTGATCGAGCTACATAGAGCTTCGCGGAAAAAAGCAAGCGTGTTGCCCGTGACGAGAGGAAGCCGATGATACCCAATTTTAAGGTATTAGGTAATTCGTTGACCTTCTAGGTCAGGTTAACGACCCAAAAGTTGGGAAAATCGGGACCTGTTGGAGCTTCGTAAAATGAGGTTGTTTTGGGGGTGTTGCGGGTCCTGATAACAAATTTCATGTTAGTTCTGACCAAAGATGACGTATTCATGCACTTGGGGAAGATAGGGTCAAGTCAGGTCAGCCAATAGGCGTCCTGTCTGCTATGCACAGTCAACCACCACTGACAGATTCGTAACAGACGTAACATGTTACATTAGGCACCAAAACTACTTCATAAATGTTCCAATTGGTGCTAAGTTCGACTTCAAATGCTAAACTCGACATTCAAAACTTCATTTCACATATTGGAACGTTAACAACTACAAGAAAAGACTGGAAACGCGCGGAAAATATGCGCTGACATACGCCAAATCACGATTCCGACCTGAAATGGTCTCAAGAAACAAGTCACAGATTGACAGATCAAAGATCATTTGGTAAAAGTCATAAAATATCAGGGTAGGTGTAAAATTGATCAACTCGAGGATAGGTACTGAAACTTTCGTCGCGATTGGTCACTTTTTGCGTGAGTTATTAGTGAAAAACCGAGGGCTTCTGTCCCCCCCCCCCCCCCCCCAAGTACGAGGGCCAAAATTGGGTAGGGGAGAGTGAAGAAAGATGTCCAGGGTTTTGCAATGTCATATATTATTCGAAAATGAAATTTGTCTACAGCCCGAATTCTACATGCTATACAACTTTTCGAACGGAAGTAAAAGTTACCATTTTCTAATCAAATTCATGTTTTATTGATTTTGAAGAAAAGTACGAAGGGGAAATTATTGAGAATTTTCCACGGAACTGTTCCACCAGTGACACATAAATAGAGGCTAGAATTATTTCCTTCACTTTTGTCAGATATCGTAAAGGTGGGGGCGGCCAAATTACACTGCCGGCCAAATTACCCCATCCTTCCCTACCCCTCACGGATTTTCGACTGTGTCGCCTCGCATCGTATCCGGACACAGATTTGGGGCCGCTGGCGCAAATGGCGCACCATGCACTTCATATCCTCCGCGCACAAGCTTTCAGCAAACCTCTCCACGGTGGCTTGTAGCTCTTGGAGGGTCACTGGAAGGGATTCTTCTGAGGGCCGCCAAGGCGACTGCTCGAAATCAGAAGTCTAACGAATACGATGATAGGTCACGACTCTGAGCTGGCCATGGCCGTTCAATGAGGCGGCTGATCACTCGCCCGTCAAAGTTGTCATCCAACCACCGGCGCACAGCCGCCGTTGTGTCACTGCAGCATCGTCCTGCTCGAACCAGAGGCCTTGTCTTCGGTCTCATGAGCCCTGCCAGGGACATGAGTCCACAATTCCCCCTTATGCAGCCTCAGATAAGCTGGCCCGGTCACTGTTTCACTGTCACATGTTTGTTCGGTATAGCTTATAGTTAAATATACTATTTTAGCTACCAGTTGAAGTCACTTGGCGAAGACAGTCATGGAAAAAGAAGCATTGATACATAAACGAAATTACAAAATTAGCGAATATTTGTCCTACTATTTTTGCAGAGTGGTTGCAGCAGTATAAGTGGTGTGTCCTAGCGTCCGAACACGGCGCGATTTGAAAAGGCTCAAGATAAGTCAACGTGTCATGGCTAAGCGTTTTAGTCGCCATGGGTCTGCCCCAATATCAGAGCACTCTCCAGCGCTATCGTATCACCGGTCCGCACACACGGCACACCTACATATGTCGTCACACATGTATGACGTCACTACAGGGACTGCCGAGCAGCTGGTGATCCGACACAGCGGGGTTTTCCTACGCTGGAATGCCCGCCAGCTGGGCTGACCGGCCGGCTAAACCAACGAAACCCCGGCAGCTGGGTAGGGGGAGGTGTGGCGATACGTCCTGGCGATCCCCGCCCCGCCCTTGTTGAGGGCCAGATCCGCGTTCGGTCTAAGTCACAGGCCTGATTGTGGGTGGAGCGATGGCAACAGCCGACTAGCTCCAGCTCACTGGCTTTGTGACAACCCAAGATCGTCACGATCTATAAGTGATCTGAAATGGCCGGTGAAGAACCTATATATAAGGTGTCAATGTCTTATGATTCGTGGGAGAAACTGCTGGCCGGAAGAGGTTAAATGTTGCAAATAACCTGCAAAGCCGGATCACCCTCGTCCGTCGTTTTCATCCTCAGGATGTTCAAATCTTTCTCCTCCACGCCGCAATCCTCACTCCGGACTGGACAGGCTACATTATCTCATGCGGGCTGCTCCCTTGGAGCAGCACTGCTGCTCCCAGGGTAGCACACCCGTAGGCGGGTGCAGAGAGTACTTGGGGGGGGGGGGGGGGTGGCTGGTCGACCTGTCCATTGGGACGGGCTCAGCCCCGGTGACTCTCTAGGGTGACTCCAGTCCAATGTCTCCCCCTAATTCCTATCATCCTCCCGGCTCTGAAATGGTCTTGACAGAATGGGCCTAACCCAACAAACACACAAACAAACAAAGTCCAAAGCCGGAAAACTTTCGTAAGCCGGTTGGAAACTAACCATAAAGTCCCATTTATCCCCTAAAGGATTGTCAGCTTCTGGAAATTACTGCATGGTCATTGGTCAAAAGTCGGTAAATGGTCTCACAAACAAGCTCTGCTTAGCGTGCAACTGACCTCCTCCCTCCATAAAACCATGGTGCTAATGTTTGTAAAAACTACTGGCGATCAATATGCAAATGTATTTTTCAATGATCATAGACGAGCAAATCACATGCTGCAAGTTAGTTTGATTTAGCTTGCAGAGCAATCCTCAGATTCATCGTACCTACAAAAATCAACACCATCCATTTAATCAAAATCTAGTATATCGTAACGTGGGATTTTGTGGTGGCAAATAATCACAAAATGCAAATATATCGTCAAACGCGCAGCATTGATATCTCATCTACATCAGACACCAGGTCCAGAGCCTCACACCCTCAATAAGCAAACTGGCGATAGAGGCCACGTCACGACGCGTAACGCAGCCTACCATTGTGACGGAACCATGTCACAAAAGTCACTAAGCCTTCCCATACCTATTGCAGGCCTTATATATCGTTCGATTGCTATGATGACGTGATATCTGTCACGCAATAACCCAACAAAATGGCTTTATTCTGAACACCAGTTGAACCTTTGAAATATGGCATACATTTAATGACAGCACACAAGGATAACGATACCCAAACAACACTTTCACATCTAATATAATGCAGCCAACATAAACACTGGAATAAATAGATTGCGGCAAGGCCGGACCGCAAATTAAATAATACCGGACATTATCATACATATATGTTCCCAGATATTTGATCCTTTCTGGTCCCTATGCATAGCTATATGTCATAACAAACCCTACAATAAGCATGCAATGCTCACTAGCTGAAAAGAACATCAAGAAACATGCTTTGTTAGTTACCTAACTCATTTCTATGGTTAATTGCTATTCAAAATAGACAGCACTGCACAGCGAGCCGCATCAGTAATGCACCGAGGTATGGCAAATGTTTGTTGAAAATGAACGAAGAAAACAAAATTGATTTTCACCAATGTCAATGTAAGTAGGTATTCTGATTTCAGTGAGAAACGAGAAAAAAAGCAAAACGCGGAGGGAAAGAAGCCAAACTCACTCAGTGGATATTGCAGAGCACACGGCTCCGAAAGAAATTAAGCGTATAAACATTGTTTACGAAAACCTGAATGCTGTTTTTGTAAGTCATCAAAAGAAAAAAAAAACGACAAAAGGTCATATCAATAAATCAATTCTAAGAATGCAGGAACGTGTTAGGCTTGCTCTTCCTTAAGTATTGTCATCTGCGATTCTACAGGCATATTTCGACTGTAAACTCGCCAACAATGGGAGTTACTGGCGCTGACAATTGGAGCTACTGGTGTATACAAACAGCTGGAATAAGTGATACGCAGCATGTGGCTTTATCGCACGCATGCACTCACTGTAAACCCTCCCACAACCAACCGTATTTGGTCGCAACGTCATCTTTGATTGTAAGACATTGTGGGATTCAAGCTATCAATATACATCGAACTGATCAAGCTGATAACGGGTATAGAATGCTACCACCTAAATGAAGTAAGTCAGGCGGGTCCCAAATATCCCAAATATCAGAGGGCAGATATACACCAAACGATACACATTTCCGATAATCCCTAGTGGCCCCTTCACCCCCCAGAAGCGGAATCACCAAAATACTCATCACAGTTCAGATCACGTTTCCCAGCGGCCACACAGCGTGCTATCCTCTGCGCACCGGCCTCCCTACATTTTTTACCACTTCTGCTGATATTATTTTGCAAAAACATCCGGACTTTTGTCAGCTCCACCGATAGCGACCGGAGGTCAGAGGTCGCCCAAGGTCCGTCAGAGGTCATCCAGGGTCGGTCAGAGGTCACCCGGGGTTAACATCTCACCTGGGGTCCAACAAAGGTCAACGCAATTAGCTAGATCAACTGGAATAAGTGAGAAGTAGCCGTAGGTCGTCCAAAGCTCAGCTAAATGTTGCCACGTTCCCTGGTGTCACTCACAGGATGACGAGTGCCCCCCATATGTCACCGTTTCGATACCAGAGGTCCCCGAGTGTCACCTACCGGGCGCCGCCGGGGCGCCGCCGGCTAGAGGTCGCCGTTGGCGGCCGACCTCTCCGGGGCGGCGCTCTCGCCCGTCAGACTGCGACGCGGCTGTTCCAGACACACGCCGGGCAGCTCGCCGCTAACGGAGAGTTTTCGGTTGTCGTCCGGCGGCAGGGGGGTGGTAGGGGATGAGTCGGAGCTCCGGTGGAGCGCCACGCGCAGGTCACACATACCTGGGGAGAGGGGAGGGAGCGGCCGTTTCAACTGGGCCCATACTACAGCCCATGGCTGTTATTTCCGTCGCCGATATTCAAATACGACAATTCCGGCACGTTCAACATATCAACAGCCACCAACACCAGCCCCTTACCTGAGGCAGTGGCACCGCATACAACAAAACAGAAGCCGCATCCCCGACCCCTTACCTGCGACAATGCCGGCGCGTTCGATCCGGTTCCAAACGGTGGCCATGAACAGGGTGTACCCGAACAGCAGCGAGACGAGCAGACGCAGCAGACCCTGTCCCCATCCGTGCAGTACCGGCCAGCCGAGGGTGGCCACCAGGACGGCCAGAAGAAGCACAGAGACCACCACGTGGAATATCTGACGGAGGGGGAAATAGTCAGAGACTAGTTGGTAGCATCGATACCACAATGTGGAATATTTGATCGAGAAGCGGAAGAGATTCGAGGGGGGGGGGGGAGTCGCAGCCGACAGAAGTTATACCAACGCGTGGAATTTCTAACCGAGGGGGGGGGGGGTAAGAGTTAGTGGCCTACAATAAAAACACCGCTATTTGGATAACTGAGATGGATGGGACGGGCAGCTTAGGCTTTATGTGGTACCGTGCTGCCATCTGTGCTCAAGCAGGGACGAGGCACGAAAAGGCGGCGTTTAAGAATCAATTCACTCACGCGCTGTGTACCCATCCCTTCGCCCTCTCACCTGATCAATGTGCAGCGATTTGAGGTAGGTCTCACACTCGACCAGGGACTCTCGCAGCACGCTGTCTCGGTAATCGCACGGATGAAACACCCACTTTTCACCCTCGCCTGCGGACCGGCCGATGCACCACAGTCAGCGGTAGGTCAGATCAGCATAAGGGACGAACACAATAAAAAAGGAAACCTTGAACGCAAAATGACACGAAGGATCACTTGTCGTTAAGAGTTATCGTCAACAGCGAAAATGCGACTTTCCGGCATTACAGCAATGTCATCGCCTAACCTATTCCGTTCTCAAACACTGCCATGGCCAGTTCCAGCAGCTGACTCAGACCAGTCACGGTCGTACCCTCATCCAATACGACCAGTCCCTCCCCTCGAACCACCCCAGTGGCTCCCCACCCAACCTCTTCCGCTCCTAGCGGCTCACCCGAGTCTGTGACCAGTCTCAGGGAGACGGCCACCGCCTCGTGGTCCGAGTAGCCGTGCTGACAGCCGGCCACCAGCTCCGGCAGCGGCTGGCAGTAGCTGACGTCCTCCAGCCGAGTCGGGCCGCGCGTCCCCACGAAGATGAAGTCGATCCGCTCGCCGTGCTCCAGCGCTGAGTGGCGCGACGTGTAGCTGTTCTTGGGCGCCTCGCACGTGGCCTCCTCGGGTGGCTCCTGTCGGATTGAGGTTCATGAAATAAAGTAAAGACTGTGTAGTTTGTAAAAAGCAGCAGATTTGTGGAGTTTGTAAATATATCATATAAATATAATAATATTGCTTACAGTCAATTTGAGCAGGACAGGGCGTGGAAAACTGGCACTCGAATTATACAATTTTCCGCAAGTAGCTTCATTCGTAGCTTTATGTAGCTTCATCACTTCTAGTTATAAAGCCAACTTTAGACATTAAAGTCAGTACCTTGGTGGTCTCGCTGTCTAGATAGTAGGCGTCCTTGAGGCCGGCGCAGTGAGTGATGACCTTGTAAGGCAGCTCGTCAGGGTTCGAGTTGAAGTCGCCGGCGAACAGGATCAGGTCGGCGCCGGCCGAGGTCATGCGCACGAACTGGGCGCAGTCGAAACTCTGCACCAGACGGTGGCAGCTGTACACGTCCCGCGCCTTGTTGTAGTTGGCGTGCAGCTGAAAGGCAGAGGGCGAGACAGTGAGAAACAGGGAAACGCCGTGAATCCAGTGTAAAACAACGACAAACCATATGGTCACCAACAAGCATTAATGAATGCTCAAACGCTATCCTGCCAAGCAGTGCACGATAAACCCAGACTCCCGGCCGCAAAGTAAGCTGAAAAGGTCTACGTATACCATAGCCACTCACATGTGTGATATACAGGTTGATGACGAGTCCTCGACAGTGCGCCTGACATAAGCCGACTCCTTTTCCGCCGAACCAGTCGCCGTGGTGGACCATGTGTGCGAACCCGTTCACCGGACTGCGGTGGTAGAGGCTGGTGGAGAGCGGGTGGCGAGACAGCACGCACGTGCCCGAGCCGATGACTCCGCTGTTACGGAGGAGGGGAGGGGTGGTGTCAGCTGGGGGGCTAGCCTTTGGTTATCTATATATGTGCATGTCTGTAAGATTTATGAAGTAGGTAGTGCTAACCCGCGACCTGGTGGGGGGGGGGGGCTATTTTTTGCCCCCCCCCCCTCCAGACTTTTCGATATATCTTCAGAACCGCTGCGCCGATCGTCACCAAACTTTCAGTACCCTCCCGGACATCAATTTTACATATGGTGACCAAAAATTTTTCCAAAGGCTATGATAGATTGGCCGGAAATGACGTCAGAGTGACGTCATGTTCTGCCGTTTTCGACCCAAAAAAGGGTTTCGCGGGGAGAGCTGTCAGGCCTATAGATTTGCAAATACAGAAAAATGATAAGGACATAAAAGCTGTAGAATTGACAGGGCTACAAAACTGCTATCTCGGATTTTTGAAATTTTTGGATTTTGACCCCAAAAAATCAAAAAATATTTTTTTGGATATAATGATCGAAAAATCCAAAAAGTTTTTTGAACTTCGCAAAAACCGGAATATATGTGATAGTCCTTACCGCCTTCCATCTACATACCAAATTTGAGATTGATAACTCTTTTTTTGGCGAAGTTATAGCGAAAAAACTGTTCGAAATTGATGACGTCAAATTTTCAAACTCAATTTTTAGCCATTCTAGAGCCCGTAGCGCAAAACAAAGACCACCATTAGACTCCCCGTGACGAGCTGCATCGAATCAATACCCATTTTATGCAAAACTATCAACTTTAAAATTTGACCTTTTTTGACCTGACCTTGACCTGACCTTGACCTGAACTTCACCAGAAAGTGACCTAAGCCGTACCTGATAGTCTTATAACCAACACCATTGAGTTGGAAATGAAAAATTGGCCATAAAACATGCACCACACAACCTTAGTAAAGTTGGGCTCATGTGACCTGACCTGTGACCCTTGGTGACCTGACCTGTGACCTGACCTGGTATTGTCAGTGACTTCTAATAGCAACATATCTACTACTACGCATTTCAGACCCTCTGGAACAGTCCTTTTTGGCCCTTTCTCGTTACCTATACGCTTGATTTCAACCAAACTTTGACACAATATGTTTCAAGGGCCTACCTAATTTTTACTAATATGGTCTTTTAACAAAATGTCAAAATGAAAGGCACTTGTCGTTGACTTGTAATGGTAAAAATTGATCGGAAAACTCTGCACCGTGGTAGAGGCTAGCATGGCGTTGCAGCGTCAGCTGTTGCGCCGCAGCTAAGCTCCGCCCACTGTGCCGCGACACCGGGACCGGTCATTCGCCGCTCGGGGTCAGAGCGGTGCGGAGCTCTGGCGGACTGGAACGAGACACACACACGCTAACGCAGGCATCATTGCGTGAATATTGTAAATGTCGTATCTCACGCGGAGAGAATAAGGATGAAGAATTCAATGCAGATCGCGACGGTGTATGTATAAAACAATAAGCACTCCTACCTACAGAATGTTATTCCCTATGCAGACTTAAAATAATCTTATTTTCAATAATTTATAGCGAGCCTCTCCGCAGCCGTTTTCCTACAGGCTATTGTGCATTTAAGGAGTAACGGGACAGAATTCACCGGACTGTCTTTGCATTCAACGGCCTTATTTAATTGAAGATATCCACATAGATACTTGTAGGTATTTCGTTTTTTTTTCTTGTTTAAAAGAATAATTTTTTTGGGAGGGGTGAAAATAATAGGTAAATCTTTCTGTGACATTTCCACAATGCTTTCAGAATGTTGTTGATAGATCTTAGGCCCGAAAAACAATAAAACAGGGAAAATATAGGATGACTCAATCTGAAAATGTAGATATGCAATATCGAGAGTTCATGATCTCCCGTCCTTCACTCCCCCTTGTCAGTTTCTCGTCTATACGTTTATAGTATATTATCTCTCGTCTATAGCCTAATCTCTATCTTCGTCACTTGTCTCTGGTCTATCGTCTTCGTCTCCTGTCTCTGCTCTAGCGGCTATATGCATATTGTTTGTTGTCCACTAGCCAACGTTTACCGTTCGTCTCATTGTCACTTTGTCTCCTTTTCCTTTCTCTTTCTTCCTCCGTCCTTATTTGTCGCAGAACAACTTATTAAAAGTTCATGACATGCAAACAAGTGCTCCACTCCGCTGCGCTGCGTGCGCGGCCCGCACGCCGGCCGGCCGGACTGCGACTGCCGCCGACATGACCCGAGGCTGGACCGCAAGTGGGCGGAGCCAAGCCGCAGTGTGCTAGTGCGTCTCGACCAATCAGAGGGGAGACAGCGTCCAGCCTGTGTCAGCCTCTAAGCAGGGCTCTGACGACCTTAACATTATCAGTCAATGACAAGTGCCTTTATTTTTCATTTTTCGTTAATAGACCATATCGATAAAAATTAGGTAGGGATCTCAAACTACCAATGCCAAAGTTTGGTTAAAATCAAACGCATATACAACGAGAAATAGCCGAAAAGGACTGTTCCACAGGGTCTGAAACGCATAGTAGGCAACTGACGCCCTATCGCTGATTCTCGACAAAATGCGTTTTCCTCGGTGTTACAGCGCATTCCCTAGAAGACCCGTGAACGGTGAAACATTTCATCTTTGACCTGACCTGTGACGTCATCAGTGACCCCGAGGTCAATGAAATTTGGTTTCCCCCGACAAATTTGACAGGCCTTTCGAACGCCGTTTGAATTTTGCGGATCCGTCCAGTAGTTTCGGAGATACGAGGGGGGGGGCAAAAAATAGCCCCCCCCCCACCAGCTCGCGTTATAAACAGACCCCACCAGGGCGCGGGCTAACATGGAAGCCCTAAATATTGATGCACTGCAGACATGACATTGCCATCTGTCAGAAATCAAGCAAAGCAGTGCGTAATTGGTAAACCGCACACAAAAGACACCTAATTAACGACAGATCAAAGTGCCGGCTAGATTATTTAATCTTACCTGTAAAAATAGTGAGCAAATGGGTATGTCTTCTCTGTTTTATCTCTGATGAGTGCATAGTCAGACTTGAGCCAAACTTCCTCCAAGAAGACAAAGTCGTAGTCCGCGGAGGACAGCCACTCTGCGATTGCCTCCATTCGAGCCTTCCTGTCACGTGCCACGACAGGTACGCCCCTAGAGGAGTAGCATGTCATCAAAATACTGCAAAACTTGACAGACATTGTGAGCTACAGCAGCATGATAATCACTAATCAGGTTCACAAGAGCAACTGGCATAGCCCAAGGTAATTGATACAAATTGACAGAGGGTTGTAATGATTACTTTTAAAATGTTGCTTCCACTTCAGACATTACCAATACCGTTATACCAGATTGCGAGAGGCGCCAGCTCTGAGGACGACCAGCCTTCTCAGACAAAAAGTTTAGGCATTAGTTAGAATTGGTAAAACAAAACAGAATTAGGAAATAAGTACACGGGTTTGTGGCTCATGCGTTGCGATATTCTTTTCTGGGTTCAACGATACCCTTCTAGTAAAATATTGACAACTAGGAACTCCCCGGACTATGTCGCAAATGGTGACCGGCCAATGTCAGTAGGGTGCAAATTGCAACTCAAGCGCCGCGCCCGGGCGGAAACTCTCATTATCGGCATCTAACGCCATCGAGTCCAGTTGGACGGCCGGCGGGTAAAAAAGAATGAATTATTTGCCTGTCGTCGAATATATTATAGCCATTGGGTGACAAGTTAAACCGGCGGCCGCTCGGCCTCCGCGCCACCCGTCGGCCACTGGGGGGGGGGGGGGGCATATAGTTCCCCCCCCCCCATTTACATCTGCGACGATATCGTCGCAACGCGAAGAGATGGAGAAGCGAAACTTTGCACACCTCTCCCTGAATACCTACCTAACCAAGCTTGTGTCCAAATTTGGTGTCGATCCCACTTAAAATGACGTCACAGTGACGTCAGAAGTCACATTATAGATTTGGGACTCTCAGTTTCCTCACAGTATATCCGTTATTTGAGACCGAATATAAAGGACTGATTATTGGTAAGGAACAAATTTGAAGTAAACTTAGATGTTTTAGGATGACAGCAGGTACCTGACTAGTTCATTTACAATTGGGTTTTATGCTCAGCGACATCAGAAACGGTCCATATCGGAAAACAACAAAACTTTATGACGTCACTGTGACGTAATTTTAAGTGCTACAACCGCCAAACTGTCCTCAAACGTTGCCTAGGTATTCATTTGAAGCTATATTAAATTTCACCTTCGTACCTTATCACGTTTCGGAGATATTCCACAAAACGTAAGGGGGGCGACTTTATGCTCCCCCTCCCCCAGCGGCTCGTGGGTTAATAAGGACTTCACCCAACACGAAATTGTTTCGGTCAGAGCATAGACCTGTGTATACAGAGGTCTATGGTCAGAGCTTTCGGATCGCATCGACAAAACTTTACCAGCGTGTTGTAATCAAGTTGGGGGGGGGGAGTGCATCGGTCGCAAAGATCAGGATGAATCATCCTCAATTTTGGCTGGCTCTGGTGACCCTTTGCCACTACGTATGTTTCTGCTCTTGTCTCCACTTTGCTGATGGTCAGAAACAACGTTATCATTTCAGGACATGTAGCCTTTTAGTTTGACCAATGATCTAAGCCAGAGTAAATGTTGTCAATCTCTCAGTGCTGCAGCTCCAGAAGTTGTAGCCTAATGCGCCTAATCATGGTAAATCAGGCAGGAATTTATTCCCTCCTGCCAGCCAGCAGCTAACAAAGCAGGTCTCAGGCAGTGTAAGATGCCAAAGGTGTTTCTGTCCAAGTGCAGAGCTCAATTCCTCAAACTAAGTTCTTGTTGAAGTTTATAAGTTGAAGTTCAAGTCCGGACTGCAAGGCAAGACAACAGGGCCAATGAGACACACCACCTACAGTGACCAATCCACAACAGCCAGCACCAACCTAGCAGGACCAGCTTGAACAAGACCCAGAACATAAGCTACAGAAAAAACCTATCAACTGGTAATTTTGATAGGACAAAATTGGAAATATTTATTCTTCTCTGGACAACCTTATTATATATTGCATGCAATGAGCATCATTTTTTTTTCAAGTAGTGTTGAGTCAGCATAATTGCAATGCTTCAGCAGAGTGGCACTAAGGGCCTGCACCACCCACAAAAATGAATAAATAGGCACTTTAGGACTGACTCACTATTCAAACATAAATTTTACACATTCTTCCATTTTTGACATCCTAAATCGAGATATGATGCTTACATGTCACCAAAATATTAAAAAAGGCACATAACCCAACCATACCTAACCTGACATACTGATTTTTGCCTAACTGTGGATAATGAAGAAGTTAATCACATGAATAGCTTGCAAGCTATGGTAAGTCAAATATAATTTTAGGCTAAGTGGTTGTGCAAGCCTGGCCTGAAGCCAAATACAAAACCACTTAACCTAGAAATATTTGACTTAATATTGCCTATAATCTCTCCTAAGGCATTGCCTTCGGCATTGCACTGCTTCGCCATGAGCCATTTGATGTTACTTTCCATATTGTACTGGTGCTTTGAATCTTGTTTGTGCCATGAATAATTATCAGATATGAAATCAAGAGGTCAAAGGATATCATGTGATTTGCTTCCTCCTTGGGGATCACACCAAAAGTAAATTGGTGATCGGTCCTAAAACTCCTAAAGTAAATAAATACACAAAAATGTTGCATCACACCACATTAAAGCTGACCACACTAGTGCACTAGCAGGATGCCCTCATACCAGTACGGTCTTGTTGAGCTTGCCATACTTTGTACTCTGGGTCAAAGATAACTTTGACTTGCCCTTGCCAATGGTTTAGGGCAACCACCACCACTTGCCAGTCTGAGGGCTGTTCACGGGCCCTGTGTGCTGTCGGACCGCACACAGCCTCCAAGCTCCGCCCACTGCGTCCCTACGTCAGCCTTCCGTCACCGCACACTGACACAGCGATCGCTGTGGCCGGTCGGGACAGGCCACAGCGAACCGTCCACCGCACACAGCCATGACGTCAGTCGCCTACCCATCCCCTACCCCCACACCTGCTGGACGCACCGCACACACCACACGCAGCAGTGTGCGGTGCCCGTGAACACTGCCCAGGAAATTGAAATGGAGGATGGATGCAGATGGGTTTGGTTGGTGGAAGACAAGAACAGATCATTTACTCGCGGTGTATCTGTTTCAGTTGCTACAGATGTACCATGTAATGACTGAATAAACGTTATTATTTGTTAATTTATCATCCTATCAGACGGTATGATTTATCATCCTATCATCTCAATCTCAGCCGGTATGATTTATCTTGACAAGTCGATAAAGCATACCAGTCACCACAAATTACTGGATATTATTATGAATATCTCACCAGCAATTCAGTGTAACTGCTTTGACTTGTGACTTCATCTTAAATGGTAAAATTCAGTAAAATGAGAGCCAACAGAATATCTCTATCAGCAAAACATGATCCCACAAAAGTGAGAGCACAATTTGCTTTTGGGCTCAATTCACATGTCACTAAGGTTTAATTTCTCAAACGCGATACGCTCGAATTCGCTCTTATGAATGAACTTCTGCGCTGGTTTTGCAACTACCGCGTATTTTATGGATTCCTGAAAAGGAATACGGGGACTAATTTAAAATGATTGAAAAGTGGATATTTAGCGTTTAGAGATCAAGTACATTCTTTGCTACTTTCTTATAACTAAATATATTTAAATGAAAATCAGTGTACTTTAAAATTTACTTATAAAAGAATGGAAATCTAACAAAAACTAGGCATGAGTATTCACTGTGCAGATGCTGTGCATGATGATGATTTGCGACCTTGAAAAGCCTTTCAGCAGCAAACGACGTCTATTTTAAATAAAGTTTCGTCATTCTAAGTTAAATCGATTTTTTTAAAATCTAAAATCAAAAACAAAATGAACTACATAATTTCATCAATTAAAATAGTACACTAAAAAAATCATTGCAAATCCTGTGATAAGAAATAATTTTACGTCATATTGAATGCTAGTTTGTTTGAAAATGCGCATGCGCAGGACACTCGCTGAGAAGTGCAACAGCTGTTGGTGGTGGGCGTCGGATTGACTGGCGAATAAATGGATGAATTTTCGCTAAAAAGTGACCCTTGTAGTGGTTTTCTGGGTAATATGATTGAAAATTGATGCAATGTGACTGAGATCGACAGGTGAACGCCATCAGAGACGTCGCAAACCACCAAGAAAATGCAATGTGAAGGTCACGTGATAGCTGTCGACCAATCAAAAAGCAGTATTCCTACATTCTGCTTCATTTTGCGAGAGACGCTGAAACGGGGAGCTTGGCGGCCATTGCTCCCAGCGGCGGTTACGGCGTGGAAAAGGGAGTCGTTCATTTTGATTATGTAATAGCCGCGATACGCTTAATTGCTGAATGACACAAGTCTTTCTATTAGGATTTCGTCAAAATAAATGAGTTTTGTGTTGTGTGTCCGCGTCATACGAATCAGGATTCCTGAGTGACGAGGCCGCGGCATGGCCACGGAAAAGTGAGTTAGCGTGATGAAATGCGTGCGGTTAGCCGTGTAGAGGGCCTCACCAAGCCATTGATTTTATTATGATGTGTTGTTTTAAATTTCAGAGCTCATATTATTTAGTTGTGTATTTTGCTACAGTGAGGCCTCGGCCTAAAATTGATGCTTGTACCTACATGTTGTGCATTCCGTTATGCCATTTTAATTTTTTGTTTCGCATGGCGTTTCTAAATTATTATGTCAAAGTATAAATTGATTTTATTTGCATTAATGTGCATTTTTACAATGATTTTGATAATTGAGCACACATGAGAAATGACATCAGATGAACATAATAATGAACAATAATTTTATGTAGTTAGGTACAAATGTACCTAACTACCTAGGTGTACCTAGGTGTGGCCATATTAGTAAGAGACTGCTGGAAGATTGAAGATTGCAAAGATTTAAATGATGAAGGTATTGAAGACTGTGTATGGTGCAAAATAAGAATCTCCAGACATGCCTGTCTGTTGGTCGGTGTGTGTTACAGAACTCCAAGTAATACTCCAGAAGAGAACAAGATATTGAATGATATGCTGAAGAGACTACCAACTGTAGATGCCAGGTATGTTTTGATCATGGGAGACTTCAATTTCAGACAGATAGATTGGGAAAATGAAACAGTCAATGGAAGTGAGGAATCAGAAGAAGCAAAGTTTCTTGATGCAATACAGGAGCTCTACCTATATCAGCATGTGCGCGAACCCACTCGTTTCAGAGATGGCCAAGAACCTTCCAGGCTTGACTTGGTGTTTACAAATGAGCAAGGCATGATTGAAGAGATCAGTGTTGGGGTCCCATTAGGGAAAAGTGATCACGCTGTTCTCTCATGGATCCTCTACTTGGGAGACCGACCAGACAGAATGGCAATGAAAGATAAGGCAAACAGTCTGAACTTTGAACGAGCTAATTTCTCAGGGATAAGAGAAGCACTAGGAACTGTTGATTGGAATGTTCTAAATGATTTTTCAGTTGAAGAAACTTGGCAGTACATAAAAGGCAAGATAAATAACTGTTTTGAAACCCTAGTTCCAAAACACAGGAAAGGACCATGCAAGAAGGCTGCACCCTGGTGGAACAGGGAACTGACCAGGGCAGTGAAGTTCAAACATGAATTCTGGAAAAAATATGCTGCAACCAAATCAAGTGAAGACTATAAAGCATACACTGTGCAGCGTAATGCAGCTACAAGCAAAATCAGGGAGCGGAGACATGAATATGAAGCGGGATTAGCCAAAAGCGTCAAACAAAATCCAAAGAAATTGTACAAGTATGTCAGGGCCCAGCAGAAAGTTAAACCAGCTGTACACGCAGTTGAAGATGGAGCAAGATTGACCTCAAGTGACAAAGAAACTGCTGCTGCCCTGCAGGTCTTCTTCAAATCTGTCTTTGTAGAAGAGGGTGATGCTCCCTTACCAGGATTTGAAGATCGATTGCAACCAGAGGAAGCCATCACAGACATAGAAATAACACCTGAATCAATCAAAAATGAGCTTGTCAACCTATGCGAACCAAAAGCACCTGGTCCTGACGGCATTCCCAACATTGTATTGAAGAGGTGTGCAGAACAGCTGACTCAGCCTCTCCACCAACTGTTCAACAAGTCACTGCAAGAGGGTCAAGTACCTCAGGATTGGAAGGATGCAAATATTGTCCCGATATACAAGAAGGGTAACAGAAATAAACCAGGAAACTACAGACCTGTAAGCTTGACCAGCCAAGTTGGGAAAGTGTTGGAAAGGTTAATTAAAAGGAGTGTAACAACTCACCTCGAGAGAAATGACCTCTTGAGCGAGCACCAGCATGGATTTGTATCCAGGAGGTCTTGTCAATCCAACCTACTCGAGGCTCTAGAGCACTGGACGAAAGCTATCGATGATGGACGAGGAGTTGACATACTTTACCTAGACTTCCAAAAGGCTTTTGACAGTGTGCCACACAAGAGACTTATGAAAAAGCTTTCTGGGTATGGCATCAAAGGAAATGTACTGTCTTGGATATGTGACTTTTTAACAAACAGAAGACAACGAGTGGTGATAGGGTCAGACCACTCTGAATGGTGCTCGGTCACCAGTGGGGTCCCCCAAGGATCGGTGTTGGGACCTGTCTTATTCATTATGTTTGTAAATGAGCTCCCAGACCTTGTGCGCAGCAACATGAAAATGTTTGCGGACGACGCCAAGATATATAGACCTATTCAAGTACAACAAGATGCTGAGATACTTCAACAGGACATATTATCCTTGCAGAAGTGGTCCGAAGAATGGCTTTTGAAATTTAACGAATCAAAATGTAAAGTAATGCATTGTGGCTCAAGCAATCCAAATGTTGACTACTTCATGTCTGACGGCACAAACAGTAAAAAGCTGCAAGAAAGTACCTTGGAGAAGGACTTAGGAGTTCACGTGTCAAGTAACTTAAAACCGGCAATACACTGTCAGAAAGCTGCTGCTAAAGGCCGGTCAGCCCTCCGAATGCTAAAACAAGCGTTCGACAGACTCGATCTCGTCAACTTCAAGCCTCTGTTCACCACCTATGTCCGTCCACATCTTGAATATTGTATGCAGGCTGTCGGTCCATACACTGCAAAGGATATCAGGCTGCTGGAACAAGTACAGAGGAGGGCGACAAAGCTTGTCAGACCTATAAGGAACCTACCCTACCCAGAACGCCTCCACAAACTTGGACTTCTTAGCGTGGAAGACAGATTGCGTCGAGGCGACCTCATCGAAACGTACAAGCTCCTAACAGGGAAGGTTAAGGTGGATAGTGAGCAGTTCTTCGAAGTCGACCATGAAGACCGCACTAGAGGACACCATCTGAAACTGAAGAAAGGCAGATCAAGCCATCTGTACAGGCTGAAGTTCTTTTCAAACAGATTAGTAAACGACTGGAACAAATTGCCAAGAGATGTGGTGGAGGCTCCATCTACAAATACGTTTAAAAACAGGCTAGACCACAGGGCTGCCGAACCTGCCTCCTCGCACCACAATTGACCTCATTCCTAGTCCGGCTCGATGTGAGCACTGAATAGACCTAGTCTACTACAGCTCACTACAACTTCAACTTCAACTTCAACTTCAACTACCGAATTATGTATGTTGTGTTAAGTTTGAGAAGTTCTAAGGTTTGGGTACCTTACTGGAAGATAACCATTATATTGTTATCTTAGGCAATTGGTGAGGCCCCCTGAATTTCAATGAGTTTGCTGGTAAAATATGTATTTATTATCTGGCTGATTGTCTAGTAAATTACCAAAAGTGCATGATATTTGATGTGTGTATTCTATTAAATTTTAGTAATATCACTGGTATATTGCATATCTGTCTTTTAAACACTCCAGCAGTATTGATTCATATTAAGGTATGTGTGATGCAATTTGCCAGGATTGATTGATCCCCAAGTATTCTAGTGGCTAGCTGATGCTATTGAAACAGATGAAATTTATGTTAAGCATGATTTTTTTTTAATATCGTCCTCCATTATTCAGATGTTCTAGCTCTTACTACTTGTACTAAAACTGTTTTTTGTTGTTGTTGTTCCTGTTGTTGTTGTAAATCTCACAATATGGATGTGGTGTTTGTCCAGTTACCAGTATCTCACAGAGCGTGCCCTCTGTTTCAGTGCCACTGATACCAAGCCCCCAGAGGGCAATGGGACAACATCAACTGTGGCAAACTCAGAGGTAAGGAAATGGGTGCTCACTGCTCATATAATCTAGCTTACCTATGAAATGAGCAATACTCACCTTCAAAAAGAATGTCAAAATAAGATGCTGAAACGGCATAGACCATCGCCATCATCAAAGAACTTAATGTTGTTGTGACCAATTCATTTTCAGGAATTACTGTGGTTAGCAATGGAAAATCATCACAAAATAGGTAGTTACCTGGCAGTATGGATTTTTGTTTTGACTTTTTTTTTTTGCTTTGAAACCTCCAGTAAAGCAGTGTTTACCCTATGAAATTCCTGCTTCTGTTGCACATCAAATTATCCAAGAATGTAGCT